TATGTTCTTCAGGTGTAAGAATGAGGCCCTTGCTTTGCCAATCCTTGACTTTACGTTTGCATCCGATCCTCTACGTTCCTCGATGATGCTTCCCAGATGTGTGAAGTATTCTACATCTTCCAGAGTTTCGACATCAAGTGTGATTGCATTGCTGTTCTCCGTGTTGCATTTGAGGACCTTGGTTTTCCCCTTGTGTATGTTGAGGCCTACTGTTGCAGAGACTTCCGCCACAGTGGTTGTCTTCACCTGCATTTTTTCTGGTGTATAGGATAGAAGAGCCAGATCATATTCAAAGTACAAATCATTCAGTTTCATCCAACCTATCCATTGTATTCTGTGCTTCCCATCAGATGTAGAGGTCTTCAAAATCCAGTCAACCGCCAGAAAAAAGAGAAAGGGAAAGAGTCTTGCCTAACACTCGTCCTCACTTAAAATGCGTCCGTCAGCTGTCCTTCATGCGCCACTTTGCAGTGTAGTCCATTGTATAAATCCTGGACGATGTTGACGATCTTCTCAGCTACTCACTCCATAGTATCGAAGAAGGTTCGCTTATCCAAACTGTCAAACAATTTTCCATAGTCAAGGAAGTTGATGTATATTGACAAATTCTATTCAACTGATTGCTCAACGATGACTCATAGTATCACTATTTGGTCTGTGCACTACCGATACTTACGGACTCCGGTCTTTTGATCTCAAACTTGTTCGTTTACTGAATTTTTTATGTTGTTCAACAACATTCTGTTGAAAATATTTCCTGGCACCAATATTAGTGTGATTCCTCGGCAGTTCTCACATTTTCTCAGATCTCCTTTCTATGGTATATTGATGAGGTTTGTCGGTACTTGATCTTCCTCCCTGTTATAATTTCTCTTATTAAGATCTAGCTAACCCTATTGCCTAGTATCCTTGGACACTGCTTCACTCAACAAGTCCCCAAATCAGAACATGGTTGAACAGGAACGTAATTATATTCCATATAACAAGGTTGGATGGAAATAAGAATCACAATAAGAGAAACGTTAGTACATTTATAGATTTTACATGAGAAGATTATAAAGTCTTCTTCAAATATCCACTTGTGCTGATTGGATAAGAAATAGTCAGTCAGCGTGCCTTAACATAATCCTGTACGGAACGTGTCTTAATCCAATCTATATCCCACTAACACTCCCAAATCTTTCTGAAGAGAATGTGGAGCATCTTTGTAGTTACCTCTATGTCTGACTTCAGTGCTTCAGCTGGTATGATGTCAGGTCCTACTGCTTCCCCAGTAGGACTGGTTTGTTCCATATTGAGCTTACAAAATAAGTAGTTCATTGTACTCCTGTACAATACAGTTATCTCAAATAGTGTAAAAGAATTCATTTTTAAAACAAAACAATGTTCATTTTGTTTATTTTCGTTAAAATATAAGTTGTTGTTCAGTTTACCAAATATTTGTAGTTTTACATTACGGACTGACTTTAATAAGATGACCATGGAAAATCAGGAAGCATTAAACAACTGTTCCACTCTAACATTGAACTCTTCATCGACGTATAATACCTATGCCAGCCGAAATCGAACTCAGGACTTGACTATTTTATACTAATTGGTTTTTGCCTAGAGATGAGTTTAAATTTATGTATGAAAAAGAGAAATAATTAACTTGAAATTAATTAAAATCACTTATTAAAAGTGGTAATATCATATCATAACGGCTGTTTCATTCAATCCTCAGATGTTTTAACATCATCCATCGACAACCACATACGATTGAATTCAGACATTTTAGGTCTTCCAGCGAGAGTGACACTTTGGTCGGTTAGTGGATAAAATGATTATGCTATGGTGGTTGCTGCCAAATTTGAATATTTCGGATTAGCTCATATGTGACTACAGGTGAGAAATACTGTCATGAAGTTCTATGCTACTAAAAAACAACTGTTCAACATTCTCTAGTTCTCACAGACTTTTCTTAACGCATTACGTCTATATTTTAACTACTGGCATCATAAAATGTATATACTTGCTTTTTCAGAACTTCAATTTCTGAACTCATCAACAAGTTAGGATACACATTAACGATTCTGATGGTACCTTGTATTTTAAAAACAAAAACAATTATGCAATTGTTAGAATAGATTAGTTGAATCCAACAAAAAAGATATTCAATAAGAAATCTTGACAGAAATTTTCAATTTGTTTAAAGTTCTGAATATCATATTATCGCAATTTAGTAGTAGCCAAGTGTTTCTTTCCAATTTGGTCATTATTATCTGCTCATTAACATTTGGACAATCAACTATGAATTGGATGAAGATGAGAACTATGTAGTAAGAGTTATTGACAAGAACAAAACAACTATATGTACAAAGAATGCATTGTAAGATTGAACCAGAAAGAGATATGTAGACGATGATATTATTTAGGCCAGTAGTTCTGTAGTGAAGAAAAACACGGGTGAAGACAGCCGAATTGTGTTTAGGACAAATTACAGAATTAGTTGCTAAAATAGAAAAACCATATAGTAAATCGTTAATTTGCAAAATATCATTCTATCATATCAAACCGGGCTGTTGCTGTTGCAAACATCAATCCATTGTCTCGCATTTCATTGCTCATGCAGTTTCTAACAAATTCCATTGTTTTCTCGCTCTTCTTTTCTTGATCTTCTCCGTCTTCTGCTGCCAGACATTACGTTCTTTTGACTCACGTTATATACTACTTATATCAATATAAGTAGCACGCACCACAGTTCATTTACTTACACTTGTTTCTCAATTATTGTATGATATTAAGACATAATTTTGCCAGAAATATCACCTCCCTGCCATTGGGTTCATTTATGTTTATTTTTTTATTATTTTTATTGATTCCTATCATTTAATAACCTTAAATGATCCTTATGTACTCACTGAGTCGTTGGCTAACTTCTTCTCTTTTTCTTCCGTTTATCGGATCTCATGTACTCTGCTCTGCTCACTGTGTTGTATAGGAGCATCTCGCTTCTCCCTTTGTGTAGGTTGAGACCTACTGCTGCCGCTGCTTCACTGGTCGTCTTCTCCCGCATTTGTTGTTGCATATGCGATAGAAGAGCCAGATCATCTGCGAATTCTAGGTCATCCAGCAGCATTCTAGCTGTCCACTGTATCCTGTGCTTCCCCTCAGATGTTGACGTCTTCATGACGCAGTCGATCACAGCCTGGAGCCCTTCTAGGGCTACTGAGGTTAGTGACCCCATCCAGTAGAAAACTAACTCGTTAAAAAACTCTAACCAGAAAATAATAATTCAAACCATTTAATATTCCCTTTATAGAATAAGTTTAAAGATGAGTTTATATTACTCTATATACTAATCGGATGATATTTTATCTTTTATACAACTTCAATAATGTTAATAATCAAATAAGAAAGAAAGTTTTCAACCTTGAAAAGAATTCCATTCTTTTTCTTTTTTTGAAATCTATTTTTCTTTAAAGATGATGAAATCAAGTCAATATGGTTTTCTCTCTCTCTTTTTCTCTCTGTGTATGTGGGTTTGTGCTTATTTGTCAAAGTTATGAATGATGTTACTATGATAATTTATTAACAGAAATCGGTCGAAAGAAGAAGATTATTGTAATGAATATGATATGATGCGATTTTGTCTTGAGTAAAAATACAAAAAAAACATGAAAATGTTAGACAATTCAATAAAGTAATAATAATAATAATAACCAAATAAAAATATTACGACCGAAAAATATTCAAAACGTCTATGGAAACTGTTGAATTTTTGTAGTTTATATCATGAAATTGATCTTAAACAAATAACCAGTGAAAACTAGGACCAATTGAATAGGTAATTCGATTCAGCAAGGTAATCTTTAGTAATGTATGTTCATTATCCTACTGAGACATTCAAATGCTATTTAGCCTTGAAGAAAACATGAAAATTGTTGGGGTGATCAAGAAAATTTCTCGCAAGAGACAAGCAAGCATCAAGAAGCACTAAGAAGCATTTCATCCAATCAGTGTTCACTTGAAGTTTTAGCCAGAAACATCAAGGCAGTGAAAGGTTACATGTAGATGGTTCTGCTTGGCTGATTGCTATACTGCTACTATGTTTAGTAGCATTCCAGAATCTTCGAGCAACCCAAAGACATTTAAAATATTATATAAACACCCTATATTTTCTGTATTGAAATGAACCTTTGGAGTACGGTGCATCAAACTAATTGATACAAGAAATATATTGACGACAAATTTCATTCTCTTTGAAGGTAACAGAAAATGTCATGACATACTACAGAAATTTAATACTCAGGATTATTCTAATATATTCACACTAGAACCAGAAATTAACTTGTAAATCCACTTCTTCAATATTTATGAAGATGAGTACCAAACAGTACTCTACAAAGATTAGTGAGAGAAAACCAACTTAGTAAGTGCAGTGTTGAGAATTTTCAAATTTGCAAACCATTGAGAAAGAAGTGAAACCTAAATCATTTTCTATCCTCAAAAACCAAGTGAATTTGCACGGAAGAAACAATCGGAAGTGAATTGTGAAACCTACTTTTCCACCCATATTTATTGAGTGAAATCTGAAACCAAAACGGCAAGCTGGTAAAATTCAAAGGCGATCCTCCACCAGCGACAGTAAGACTCAATCCCCATGATCTTTGGGGAATATCTACCGGGTTGATTTTTTTCTACCAACATCAAAGTTAGGAGGGATAGAGTATAAAACTTTGCCTTCGACTACTTCACCATGTATCCGTAAGTGTATTTGTTCTTGTGAACTAAGTTATGTCGGCCATACAACGTGTACTCTTTTTTATGTGTTTTTAAGTACTACTCTGCAAGGTTGTCTAAAGGTAAATTTAAAATGATCAGCAGTTTCACCAGCTATGGCCACGTTATTCCACCGAAAGTAGTCTTCTAAATCATCTGTAAAATTAGACTAAAAGGGAGTACCGTATAGATACATGTGTATGATAAAGATTCTAGCACTTCATCACTTCAAGCATATTCTCTGCTTCTACAAGTACTATATTCAATCGCTCACCTTACCATGACGCTAATTTCCTCTCTAATTCTGTCAATTTCTGATATCTGTTGCCAAATACATCAATTTAGTCAGCGATATCGTCAAACAGACATTTTTTTCCACTAAACTGTTTATATTTTCTTATATATATCATTGGTACCCAAAGTGAAAAAAAATGTTAGTGTCAACTCCAAGAGATTCGCCTTTCTGATATGATATTTCAATACGCTTTTCCGATTATAAACTGTTCCCTTTGACATTATTCTACGTTAACTGTCTTTCTCATTTTATCCAAACAATCAAACAAGGAACAATCTATTTAAACTGATTCCTATACTTGATTAATAATGATAACACAAGTGAAACAATATTTTTATTTCGATTTATCATTTAATCATTTTATTATTATTGACCAATAAAAAATTAGAATAATTCAACATTGGCCAACAGTGAGCACTTTTCAATGACCAATCATTTTACAGAATTATATCATTTTGAAATTGAAAAAACATATATATATATAGAAAGAGAGATATTCATCTGTGATAAACATTCCCTTATCTAATTACTTTGTAAACTATGTCTGTCAAAGTCAGCAACAGTCTATCACCATTTTATGTAGAATTAGCTAAAAAGAATCTGTCAGAAAATCCAGCACATGTTCAAGCACATTTGACTGCTTTTAAACGATGGTTAAGCTCATGTCAACATTTAACAATACCTCAAGGTAAGATTATAATTAAAATTTCAATTAGAAATAATGATATATTTATTGCCGATCTTATAAATATTATATATTGTTATATATACATGTATAAGGTTGAGGAAATTGTTGAGTTTAGATTGATATCATGAATTTATCAATGTTAAAACACTGAAAGGCTTTTTTGTCCTTGTCACTAGTGACTAGCTTCAAGATGGATTTCTCGGAGTTCCAATGAGATGCCATGACCAGTGAAGTTCAACCGTGTCTGTTGTGAGGCAGTTACTTACTGAAAATAATGGTGGACGGTCGCGCAATACCGTTAGACGCTGGCTCAGTGGTCTAGAGGTTAAGCGTTCGTGCTCTAGACCGAAGGTGCTGAATTCGAGTCTCACGCGCGGGGTCGTGGATTTACACTGCTGAGGAGACCCATACTAGGACGGAATCGCCGTTCAGTGCCTCTAGATTTTCAATGGTGGTATAAAATTGATCCATTCATGATATCAATATATACATGTATCTGGATGTAGTAAACTTCAGTTATAAAATTTGATACTGAATTTATTAATAAACGAATATAATTGTCAAGTCATATTCTTTGAATTAGAGATTCATCAAAATACATTCTCATAGTTTTCATTATCGAGACTAAAGCATTCATATTTAAATGATAGTAAAGATTATTTAACAAACTAATCGAATGTTTCCAGTCGAAGTTTTTGAATATTTTTAACCAATTATACCGTCAATTACATGGGATTACCTGATTTGTCAAGGTATTTCTCCGTAACATTAATAATTATTGTGTAACAGATCGTTTTTCAAGTTGGTAACATTTATGACTTGATAAATTCAGAAAGTTTGCTTGATCATGGACTAAATTTGAATAGGGATTACTGAGCCAATATTACAGTGTTAAACATTAATTTGAATTCCATTTAGGACTGACTGAAAGATTAATTTATCGGTTACGGATAAAAATTAGATCCATTCATCTTTTTAAAATTGTATTATGACTGATATACTGAGTTAAATTCTAATGATCAGTTTTGTCTTATTTTTTACGAAAGAATGATCTTATATGATCTTGTGTTATCACTGTTTGCAGTAAAACTTGGTTTTTCTTTTATTCTGTTTCATTTATGGGAATCTTTCTCAATACAGATAATTGTAATCAGTTAGTTCAATAGTTCTTAAACTTATCAAACATATTTTTTCTTACAGAAGTCTGTTGATTTTGCCTTATCTACGAAAAAAACACTTATTTCATGCATATATACACTTCTCTATATATGCGGACTATGTAAATTGTTGTACAGGATTAGTTTTAGCAAGGACCAAATCGACGTATATTTATGGGTTAGTCTGACATGTATAAATGGATTGTGGCAATTTCAAACTTGTTTGAATTAAATAATCTCAAAGGACTACTTAACTTTTTGGTAATCATGATCACAATTTATATGACGAAATATTAAACACCAGAATCAATTATCTACTTCAGTATAGGTTGAGACATTACATCATAATGTATATTTGATCAGTTACAAGATCAGACATATGAGCTTTAAGTCTTGTTGTCAGAGCATAATAGTAAACTCACTAAGTAGGAAACAAATAGAAGTAATATTGACATTTTGAGATCAATATCAATCTTATTGAAGGTAGGCATATAGCTTCTAAATCAGTGTGCCAAAATGTTCTACCATGCATTCCTAAAACGGCTCTAATCGAGAGAAAACACAAAACTATTTGGCATACAGGAAAACTGAATTTTGTAATATTGTGGGAGCTGATTATTATGGATTGACTACAATAACAAGTAAAGAACCTTTACGAATATGACATCATACAACGAATCAGTTTCAAGTCAAACGACTACGTAACTGTATACTTGCGGTTATATCAATTCACCAAAAAAGAGACGAAGATCAAATGTTCACTATTTACTGGACCAAGTACTAATAATTTTTAGTATTGTCCATCATTGTAGACTACTGCTACTAGACTCGATACTGAAATTTCATTCTACATATATGTAGTATATCATTCTAAATACAAACTCAAGACTATTTGTGGACTTTACAAACTAATGTTTATTTAAGATAAATTGAATTCAAGAGTGATTCACACATTGATATCACTTAAATATAATTGTGAATGGTGCACATGTTTTCATATACCCGTCGTGGTATTTCAAGATGTCCACTTAACCAGTAGAAAGAGGTTGATATAAGGACTTAAGAACATAATATGCTATTATTCGAAACATTGGAATATTGAAGCCAGCTGATTCCCTTTACAACTTTTAAACAAAGTAAGAACGACAATATTTGCAGAATATGCTAAATTCATTGTATTTTATTGCTTTCTCCTCAACTACACATCTAAGGTAATACGTTTAATTATTCACAATTATTAACATAACATGGGAAAATGAATTATCAATCAATGACAAATAAGTTGCGCGTCACATGAAAGGAGTTAAGAATGTCAAATTTAATATGAGCTTCTTTTTATGGTTGTTTAAGATAATAGTTCCAAAATATGAAAATGATTTTATTACAAAGGAATGGAGAATGTATGAGTTCAACCCACCAGATTGTGATTGTAATTAATCTCAACGAAGAAAGTTTAAAATGTTACAGTGAAAAGTGAAGATTTACCAATGAGTCTTTCTGTTTACAAAGGTTTAGTTTTAACATCCTAGTAGGTGTGGTTTCTGTAAATTTTGACGTTGCGGAATTGAACTGTTCACTGATAACTATGAATGAATTTAATGCACCCACATAGTGCCTCATGTGTAACAAGTAGCGCGTTCTGTTGCAATTCATAGGCAGCTTTCTTTTTTTAAGGCATAGATGTTTTGGAATGTGCTCATTAAAACGAACAAAAATCATTGTACGTGTTTTTATGTACAAGTAAATTGACATTTCCCATCGGAGGTGATAAATATCAGATACTTATCCACTATGTATTTTGTATAAAGGAATCAACTTCCCAGGAGAAATGTACTTTTTAAAGTTGCATTTAGTACTCAATTAATTTTATTCATTAGTTGATCGCATTTGAATGACAATTGAATAGAAACATGTTTCCTTTTGAATTTGTATTCTTCCATCTTACTTCGATAATCAGTACTATATTTTCTTTTAATTGATTGAGGTTACCCATTGTTTCGCAGACAATTATTTTCTACTACAGTATACTCTTACTCGAGATTATAGGGCGACAGCTGCGCAAGTCTATATTTCGTTTACACCAGGTCTCTTTTTAGTGTATACGCCATAGATGATATCCACCGTTTCTTCTAGAAATACATTACACACAACTTATTCGTTATTGATTGATAATTCACTTTTCCGTGTTATGTTAATAATTGCAAATAATTAAACATATTAGCTTATATATGTAGTGGAAGAAAACGAAACTAAATATGATGAATTTATCATATTCTGCAAATACTGTCATTAAAAGACTAGTTATAGTAAGATTATAATTTATGGACGACCTTTGAGCAACACTAAAGTGACCTGGAGAATGTCCGCCAACTTACTATAGCTAAACGAGAGTTATAGACCTGTGTGAAGAATAACGATTAGAATTTACAGTTGATGGTTAGGGTTAGGAATCAGATTTAGATTTTTCATCACGAACTGACATCAGTTAAAATGCCAAAACGATATCTAGCCAAATGGATGAGTGAATTTTGCACCAAAATCCAAGACCTGTTATCCTAAATGTGATTGATTCATCCATAAATTATAGACCTGTAAAGTATTAAGTTGTATGTTGTTATGAGAATGGTTTAAATTTGACTTTCATATGTTAATAATAAAACGTATATGGGATTCCAATGCTAGAATTAGTAGACAATAGCTCAAAATGAACATTTACATTTTAGTTAATCGTTCTTTTTTGTTAACATGACAGTTGATGACAATTATGTTGAACAATATAAGGTTTATTTTGTTGATGAACATTTCGATTTCAGCTCAAAATGGTGTTTTAAATGTTGATTTAGGATAGTTAAAACGTGAATTCTGAGACTAAGGCTATGCTAATCGAGTGCTAAACTTTTATTATGAATTAGGACTACCTTTATCCAGTGCGCTAAACACAATCATCGTCTACATTTCAAGATGTCAACTTACTTAAACCCGTACTTCAATCCAGGTAAAATAGCGTTTATTTGATCCTAACTATATACTAGTAGAAAATAGCGGGCTACCTAAACCGCATAAAATAGAAAATATTGTAAGCTCAATGTTTAATTACTTAGATTTGTGACCACAATGTAATTCTATTAATATAATTCGATCAGCACCGACAGACTCGAAGAACATAGCAATGAGCACTCAATATAAATTCCAGTGAGAATGAACATCGTCATTTTATTTGGTATCTACAAATGTAATAACATTGAAATCCGTTACGTAACAACGCTTTTTGTCGCTGATAAGAGTGTTAAATTAACCTCGTATAAAACACCCACTATATTCACAACAAATCATGTTACACATTCTAATTCTTTTTTCTACAACCGTGTGAATAGAATTACTATTATTTACTTACTTACTTGCACCTATTATCTTTCATGGAGGATCATTGACCACCCACCAAGATTCTTCATTGAAATTTGTCCTGGGCGATTCATCTCATCGAAAACAACCTTATTAAGGAAGCTCTAAGCAGAATTACCACTAAATACCAAAAATTATTCAGAGTAATAGTTGATATTTTTTTCTTTTCAAAACTACAATTCTATAATATTTCATTCTGTTGTATATCACGCTATAATTCTGTGTTATACTAGATACTTTGTGCCAGATCAACTTTCTTTTATTTATAATATAAACAAAATAATCAAACTTATATAGGTCATTGTATGTATGTATGTTGTTGTTTTATTGTTACTAATGTAATTTTGTCCTAAATTCTTATTTAAAAGTAAACAATGAATAAAAAGACCGTAGAAACGTATCAAGTTTATTGATTCAATCAAAATCAGACAAAAGTTTTCTTTAGAAAATACATAAAAGTATATGATATAAAGAATCAACATTTTCAAAATAAGATTGGTTATAGGTCACGTAAAATGACAACCAGTGAATTCAAAATCCATACTAAAGAACTAGATGAAATGACACCGGTTATTAGTGAGAGAGAGAAAAAAGTGTAGTCTCTGATCTGAATAATTGAAAGATCACATCTATGACTGTAATATAAGTTAGATTTGAATCTCTAAGACAAGATATTTAGTACTTTGGTGATTAAAAAAATATACACTTTATTTGTAGTGTCGGTTATTATGCCAAGCCCATATACCTTATTCGAGCTTCCGGACATCCCATTTTATTCATTCTACTCGAGCAATAGTTTGACCCTGTTATTTATTCGCTTATCAACCTAGACTGTTTTTATATGAGCGTATATGTGTGTGCCCTTTTTATCCTATTAATCACATGTCTGTAGCATTATTTTGTCTGACCATAAATATTGAGTAAAGCTTGACAAAGATGGAGTTGGCTTCCCAGCCATCTTCCCTGCGTGTCATTTTACTCTACTCTGTTTCAATCGCTTCATATACAAAATATACGTATTCACAAGTCGATTCTCGTTATTCGACTTATTTAATTCCGTTATTGACTAACGCGATTTAAGTCGACGATTATATATGAGAATAGGCGATAAAAATCATTTATACGATCTTGGAGTCAGATCCACGGGCCACTAAAATGGTGAGCCCTTCAACGAATATCGTCCGATCTAAATGAGGACAAAATCAAACTACGGGCCTCCACTAAATACTAATGATTATGGAGACTCTGGGATTTGCCATAAAGTACTTTCGTAGTAAACAAGAACACGAGTGAATGTGTCTCAATCCGAAATTACAGAACATTTCACTAAAATTTGAGTACAATACAGTAAATATTTAATTTGCAAAATATTAATCAATTGTCTCAAACTTCACTATTTCTTATGCAAAAATCAGTCCATCGTTTCAGATTTCATTGTTCCTGCATTTTCATATCAATTGCTTTCCATTCCCGTTTTTCTTCCTTTTCATTCTTCTACTGAAATAAATTCTATTCTTAACTATCGTTATATACTACTTATGTGAATTTAAGTATTTCACACCACACTTTTAACTATCTATTAGTAGAATGATAATTATTACTAATTTATATTTTACATTTACAGACACTAAGCAGTATGAAATATTACTAACTTTGTGAAAACTAATATCTTCTGATAGATTTGAACTATTTCGATATTATATATTCAAAGAATATGAACTCTGAACAAAACGTTCTCAAAGCTTTAAGTGAATATCGATTCTTTTTGTAATAGTTGTTACTTATAAGAAGAGACAAGTATTCAATTCCAAGTAAATAAATTGTTGAATACCATGAATAATAAAAATAAAATGGATTCATTTCTTGTTAGCTTTCTAATTTGATACCTTAGAATCGATATATATATATATATATATATAACCATTCCTAGTATTAATTAAACTAGATAATATCAGTAAATTAACATAATGAACTTGAAGAGAATGTTATATAATCTTGTTAATAGGTATATGATGAAGTTTGTTTAGTTTAATAAAAGAAAATAATTGAATTTGGTGACAAGTTATATTTTGATTCTATCTATTTATTTAATTAAAAGGTTTAAATCATTATTATGGTTTCCATGACTCATTTGTGCACATCATCCATTGGCACATTCTAATCGATACTTAACCACAATTATAATTAAATGATTTATTCTTTCGTTTAAATGAGTAGATTTTATTTGGCATTGGTAAAATAAACTTATGTTCAATACTTAATTTAAGCATAGTCGAATATATATATATATATATATATATATATATATATATATATATATATATATATATATATATATATATACACGGCGAGAGAGAGAGAGAGTATATAGAGTACACTTTTATTTAGTAAACAATAACAAATTGCTCTAGAAAATGGTTCTTTTCAATTAACTGTTCTTTATGACTCTACATTAGCATAGGTGTATACATTTTAAAATACACAACAGATTCAGTACCAATTAATTAGTACTGAGGCTGTTATAAATATAGAGTTTACATAGATTCTGTTAGCTACTTACAGTTTAAAGTAGTGATATTAAATGAATCACATAAACTGTTTCTTTAAAAAAATGGGAGGGGGTATATATGTAACATAACTCGTATCTATAGTATAATGCTTAGTGAAATATGAAGATTTCATGGAGACAAATCAATATAAGGTCAACAGATATACAAAAAATTCTTCGTCTATTTGACTATTTATTGATTAGTTAGATGAGTATTCTAGACACAAAAAAAGGACTGTGGAGCATATCGATAACAAAGAAATAAAAAATTAATAAATAAGACTGTGTAATTTTTAGTACAAAATTGAAAATGACAGATGGATTGCCAAGTTAAAATGAACAAATAAGTTTAGATATAAACCAAGAAAATAAAGAATCAAATTATTTTATTCAGAACAACAAATGAAATGTTATTCTACCAAATATTCAACAATGAAATCATTTGTGAAAGTGAGACATCAACAAATTTGGATTTTTTTGATTGAGATCATGAACTGATTGATGTTGGACCACCATTCAAAACCTGGAAGTACTGAACGACCGTTTCATCCTATTGTGAGACTCCTCAACAGTGCGCATCTATGATCTCATATGTGAGACTCGAACCTAAGTTTTCAATGGTGGTTTAACATCAATCAGTTCATGATTTCAATCAAAAACTTAGTAATCTCAACAACCCTATACTGAAAATTTGAATTTTATCATTAAAAAAGAATGAGCAAGAAAGTATTAACAATTTGCAATCTCACTCAGTCAAATGCTGAAACGATCAAAAAGAAAAGCCAAACATCATACATACAACAAACTGTTCCAACTATGAGAAACATTACATCAAATAAAGTGGACGAGCTCTTCATCTTTGTCTGAATGAACATTAACTAGCTAGCAAACACTGAATGGTATTTTTACCATTATCGATGCACGTCTTTAATTGTGGATGATATATATTCAACTGAGATGCCGAGAAGTTGGACAGAGGAAATACAAAGAAGAGCAGAGAATTTTTAGAAGCTAGGCACTCAGATTAGTGAACAGTCAATAAACACACAGAAATCAATTAGATTGGTCAAGCGTTTAAAAAAACCATGGACTTATACAGACAACAACAGGAAACTAATCAACAATAGCCAATCACGGTCAAGAACGATAGGACAAAATGTCAATCATTTGTGGATAAATTCGGATACCTCACTTCTACTTGAAGTTCGTGTTAATGATGTTGTTCAGAAGAATAGAAGTAGCTTCGTGATCAAACCTCCACCTAAAATCATCCATTCAACTGAGAAATCTTCACCACCAATTATCTCTTAAATTAATAGAATTAGGAATGACACTATCAACCTCGATTAGTACTTTCCTATGAACGTGATAATATGTAGTAAATAAACTTATAAGCCTTAATGATAACTAACATTCTAATTTCCAGATCGTAAACAGATGAATTAAGTCTACAACATAGATGATTTCATATAAATCTGTTACAGGTACCGTTTCTGGTCTATGCAAAAATTATAAAGTGGAAAGAATTGCATACTACAGGTATTCATGAAGCTGACGATGAATAGTTGGCAACTCAATTCGTCTATTAAGATGAATATGCTAACTATAATATCTAAAGATATTATGTAATTAATGAGAAAACTCAATTCCCTCAAGATTGTAGGTAATTTCTACTGATAAGTACCGACTGACACAAAACCATGATCTAAGGTTTCCCATAGACCATCAAACACCAAACCAAAGCCCACACGATGTCAAATCACATAGACTAGTGACCGTGTTACAGCTTTACAGATAAAATTTATTCCGAACCAAGGACTAAACGTCGACCATTATTCAGTGATCAATTATTATAGATGAGTTTAGAATCAATAGATTGCATAACAACAGTATTGTTAAAAAGTTGAATTTTCATCAATATTCACTTAGGAAATCAAAGTAGCCAATATTAACAATAGTTTGATAAGAGTAAGAGAAACTTCGCAGAAAGTGTTCAGTACATCCAAACAATAGACTCGGTTTTACAATTGTCCAGTCATAACATCTTAAAATGAAATTCGCGTAACTGCCTGAATAAGTTTGACTCATCCATGTACATTTTACGCTTGAAATGTTTGTGCACAGTTTGTTTGATCTAACTCAGAATAGAACAAGTTCATCGTCAAATGTATGATCATTCCTGATAATAAGCATAGTCAGACGGTGGCTAACAATGAAATACAAAACGCTGATTTATATCCTGTTTGTGAGTCGTCATCTGGACGTACTCCAGGACTCGAATGCAGTACCGTTCGCTCCAAATTCAACCGCGTTATCCACTTAGCTTATGATAGACCGCACTCCTAAACATAATTGTGAAGTTTAGAATCCTATACAAGTGAGTTATTCATCATGATTTATTAAAAGATTATGAAAGATGTTTATAATCATCATGTGGCATATGCTACTTATGTCGACATAAGTAATATATAACACCAGACAGAAGTGGAATGCCTGACAACAGAAGGTTGGGAAGATCGAATCAAAAAGAACGGGAACAGAGAGTAATTATTATAGCAATGAAAGATCCATGAAGTTTGAGACAGTTGACGGAGGATTTGCAAATGAAGTATTTGACTTAAAGTTTTCACATCTGGTGAAAGAACTCTGTAACTTTGAGTTGAAATACATTTGGTTGTCACCATCCGTATTCTCGTTCATTACAGTTATACTTTATCATTGGATTAGTATATAAATAATATTAAGTCGGCCTGAATTAAACCTTTTGCAGAGTGATTTATCATTAACAATTTAATGTGATATGTTTTTTAGATGTTGCTATTATTTCTGTTAGTAACTTTATTCAAATATTTATCTTCCTTTTCTTAAAAAAATGTTTAAAACACGAAGATGATGCTTTCTTGCTTGGTTTTCTACGTTATGCACATTATGATCATTCGGTTGCACAGAAACGCATTGATAATTTCTGCAGTGTACGTTGTTTAAGTAAACATGGGATTACAGAATGGTATAAGTATCCTAAATTAACTGATCCGATTGTAGACATATATCTAGATGCCGGGTAAGTGAATAATTTTTTTCGTGTCAGTTGAAATTGTTTAATTTGCAGTTTACATCATTAAATGGTTGATTAGTCTAAAGGTTGAGTGCTCCCTTTGAGGTCCGAAAGATCTTAGGTTCAGTCTAAAGTGAGTTTGAGAACCTTTACTGCTAAAAGGTCTACATTCTTGAAAGAAATAATCTTCACAGTCAGAGCTTGATTTTGCACTGTTTGATAATTAGTCAACATACAGAGAAATTCCAATAGTTCACTCCTATTTGCGAAAATTCCAATAAGAACACTCGCTTCATCAACCAATATACGTTTTGACCTCAATATGACTATTTAGACAGATACGCTATTTAAGTATTCAAATAATACAATGAACAAAGAGATAATTTTCAGATAATAATAATCATGAACCAATATCAGATGAACGATCAATAATGACCTGATTTCATGTGCACTTAAATTTGTAACTAGACTCATGATGAGTGTATATGTCTGTTTTGTCTCTCTGAGCACTGGAAGACTGAGATTATCATTCCTGTATTGAATAATATACATTTTCATTAGTTACACCAAATATGCTGTCCTACAAACTGAGATAATCAGCTCCTGATTTACACTAACTGTATAAGTAGTATCTGAGTCATTACTTGTTACGAATCGATCATAAACGTTGATGATATGCAGTCAGATCAGTCAACAGATTCTTCAATAAATCACTGAAAATCTATGTTTAATAAGTAGATACTTCGTTTTTTGGATTTCTCGAAATTGAGTGTTTAAAACTCCTAAAGAATTCGAAAATAGGGTCTCTGCACCTCATGGTAACCATGGTAACGTCAGTTCACTTAATCAGAAGCCAGAAGTTCACATTTCCAACTCCAATCTATTTGCCAGGTGAATATTAACGACCAGTAAGTTAGTAATTTCCTGTAGATTCAGACGACTTTGTAAGTCTAAAATTCCAACTAGAATATCCAGAATATCCATCCTAAAGATGACAATTGATAATGAAAATCACCTTTAAAATATGTGAAATCAACACTAAAAAAACTTGAAAGATCCGTAATTAAGCCTAAGGTTATGTCGAAACCTAGATTTTTATTTAATTTCAGTCATCACTCATGTATTATGATGACAACAACAAAATATAATCTACCAATTACTTCACATTATCTTATTATTAATTACTCATATTCATCTAGGTAGAAACAGTATATCTTTCTAAGAAATTTATTTCCCTTTTACTCTGTTTCCTATAGTCATTGTATATTGAATGTCTCAGTTTCAAATTTTCTTGTTTAAGATTTATCAATCAGTACAATGTATATCTTGTCCGTTCTTTTCAAATCAGCATTTTTGTTCCATTGGGTATCGTAGACAGTGGAGTACACATGTTTATACTAAGGTTGAGTAAGTTTTTCTAATTGAATCACTGTGAAAATAAATAATTTTTTAAAGAGGCTTGGCAATCTGATCGTTTATCACAAACACAAATGAGGGCTTTGAATAATATGAATTTTGAACGTTTTATTTTCGACGAACAATGTCAAATTGGAGGAGTCGGTATTTTCATTGATTTATCAGGAACAACAGCTAAACAAGTCAGTGAATGGACTGACCCAAGAACAGCGAAAAGCTCAATGAAATTATTACAGGTAAATGAATCTCAAAAAAAAGAAGAAGTAATCGATTATTTTATTTATTCTAATAAAAAATATAAAAAGATATGAACCCCACTCCTCACATCGTAAAATTCGATTCGCTTAATTTTAATCATATGTTAACTCCTGATTAGTTTCATGGTTAAACTTCCCTATAAAACAAAGAGAGTCAAGATTAAAACAATAAATCATCGATTACATTCGATAAAAGTCGCGTAGCACCACAAGTTGACTAAATCTACTAATATAGATCGTTAGTTCAAAACTATTTCGATAAAAGAGAAAACTGAAGGTTCTTGGTTCGAGTACTCATGTATGTGCATTGATGAAGAGTCTCAAACTAATATAAAATATTTAATGGTTGAATTCATGAGTCAATTTAAGCTAAACCACCATTGAAAACCTAGAAGCACTGGACGGCCGTTCCCTCCTAATATACGACTCATCAGAAGTGCGCATCCACTATCCCACACGTGTGACTCGAATCCAGGACCTTCGGTCTAGCGCGCGAAAACCTAACCTCCAGCGGTGTTAATGTCTAGCTTCAACAGATCCACGATATTGCGCAACCGTCCACCATTGTCTTCAGTGAGTAAATGCCTCACGAAAGACACAGTTGAACTTCCCTGGTCATGGCATCTCACTAGACCTTCAGGAAATCCATCTTGAAGCCATTTGTTAATGAGCGCATGATGATTATTGTCAGAATGGAGGTTTGTGGAAACTGTAGTAGTTTAACAGTTGTCCACTTCGCAGTGATTTTAAATTTTTCTTCAGCTTATGTCAGTTCGTGATGAAAATTATTTAGAAATATATATAGTAGTGAGTAACATAAGTTTTTTTACAAATCGAAATGATTTCTAAACTCAAGCATTCATGTTAGGTGATCCTAAGCAGTTGTTAAGAAGCTTTAAATAGAGGTTTCTTGATAGCTGTAACGTTAATCTTCTCTGAGAGGAGTAATTAGTGCCTATCATTCCTAAATGGGACTAAATGAGGCTAAAAACAGCCCAGTAGTAAGGTATCTGACCATGAAGCTGATGGGAACATCTTTAACCTAAGTTCCCAGATGTTATATTCTGACCAATAGTAACCAGTACGAAACATTGGGCTTCTTACCGAATTTCTTCGAAAAACTTAAAATCCAAACATATTGCAAGCAATTTCACTTAAACTAGTGGCCAAACTTCAAACTTATTAATATAATTCAACCAATATAAAGGATCAGACAAACATAACCTTGATTACCACTCAGTTATGAACCAGCATGCCTGATTTTCTTTTTGTTTCGTTGAACTTTCTACACTACCACCTCAATAACATCATTGGATTTAATTGACTGATATAACTAACTATTCATTGTTAATAGTTATAACATCGTTATTTTGTGTAATGAAAGACTATATCAGTCAGTAGTGTTTTAGCGTAACCTATAAGCTATATGTCAGAGATTCTCAGTTAACTCCTCGTTATGTATTAGATGCAACTTACAATATTGACAAGTTGATTTTCAGTAATGAGTTATGTAAATTGTTGAATTTAATTGAACAACCATCTTCCACCATGTTTGGTGGGCACCTTCCTCACATCCGACAGGAATTAGCTCCACTGGTTACGGCTTCTCACTAGAACTCCGGAAAGTTCGTCTCAAAGCTAGTCACTAGTTATCACATAATAATTTTTTTCTTTATGAGGCTGTGGTGATTGTTGAGTTTCCCTGAATTCATTAACCGATTCAAGTTAGGCCACTAATGAGAACCTGGAAGCACTGGGAGGTGTACAAGATCATGGATACTAAGTGCTGAAAAATCTCATAGTAGGACGAAATGGCCGTCCCGTTTTTCCAGGTTTTCATTGATGATCTAACTTGGATTGATTCATTATTTCAGGGAAACTGACAATTTATAATTTTCGCTTTTATCAACACATGTTAATCATATGAATGATGAATTATTTCTGTTTGATTTTTATTTATTCTAGGAAGCTACTCCTGGACGTACTAAACATCTTATATTTTATAAAGAATCGAAAGCATTCGATATAGGTTTCAAAATTTTTGAATTTTGGTTAAGTGATAAAATGCGACAACGAGTAAGTTATATTTCTCTTAGTACTTTGCTTTTTTTCCTGATACCCTCCTTTATACTGTTCTTCTTTTAATTAAGTGTACAGTAAGATTTATAATTCAACGTAGTGTATCGATTAACCAATAAGTATCATACAGTTAACAAAATAATTGATGCAAGTCTGACTGTTTTAGCTCCAGTTCCATGAGTTGACTGGTTACAGCTTCTGTAGTTCGCTAGTAATATGTAGCAAGATAAAATGTTTATGCTATTTTTCTTTAATTTTAAAATGTTCTTAATTGTGATCTGGCAATATACCGGTTGATAATTTTATGTTATAACAGTGAATGGCTTTGAGAAGAGTTCCCGAACATCAAACATGTCGTTGATAATTGAGATCATGAGCCGATTGATGTCAGACCACTGTTGGAAACCTGGAAGCACTGGAAGGCCGTCTCGTCCTACTTTGGGACTCCTCAGCAGTGCGCATCCACGATCCCGCTCGCGGGATTCCAACCCGGGGCCTTCAGTCTCGCGCGCAAACGCTCAACCTACTGGACCACTGAGCCGGCATCCAATGATGTTAGTGTCTAACTTCAACTAATCCACGAACTAGCACGACCATCTTCCATTGTACTGAGGTAGATACCTATCTCTACGCGACACGGATAAGCTCAACTGGTCACGGTTAAGTGTTCGTGCGTGAGACTGAAGGCCCCGGGTTGGAATCCCGCGAGCGGGATCGTGGATGCGCACTGCTGAGGAGTCCCAAAGTAGGACGAAACGGCCTTCTAGTGCCTCCATGTTTTCAACAGTAGTCTAACATCAATCGATTCATGATCTCAATCAAAAACTTAATAATCTCCACAACCCCTATAATGATAATGTCGTTGGTAAGACAGATATTACATATGGTACTAACAGGCAGCTATACCTCACTGAGTGTAATTGAAAATGTGAACTATAAGATATTAACAAAGTATTATAAGAGAACTATGCCTACGTGAAACCTGGAGGTCTTGTATATAATCTAGTGTAAAACAGTGGTTTATACAAACTAGGAGGGTATAAATATACGATGATTTCTGGTTCAAGATAGTTTATCATTTACCAGCCTGTGATATATGGATTTACTGTCAAAACTGTTATCTAAAAGTTTTCGAAACAGCTAATCACAATCATTTCTTTGGATACCTCTTGACCATCTGTGTAAAAATAAAGTTGTTGACCTATTCATTCATTCAATACAAATTTTTAAAAAGCATGAACTATTTAGTTTCTTTTTCTCTGACAAAATAATACTATTTGTAGGTTTAATAATAGATAGTATCAGATATTAAAAGCACTTCTTGTTAAAATCGATTTTCTCTGATCACATAGTACAAAGATAAATTATGTTTTCTTGTTAAAACCATTAAAAATGATCCTCTGACAAGTTTGAACCTCTCAGGGAATCGTATTAATGGACTGGTACAATTGTGAGTTTTATTGGTACAGAAGTTGGTGACGTCGGTATACTATTTAAATGTTGATTCTTTCTTTTGGAAAAAATTACATTTCGACTCTACCGAACACTGTGTGTTAAATAATCAATTATTTTGGAACGAATTAGTCAGATTTTATGTATAATAGTTTTAATAAGTACCTTTGATGGAAATTACTAGAACAATTCATATATCTTTGATTCATGTTAGAATGAAAAGATAGAAGCAAGACATTTTTCCAATTGAATGTAGCGGAGAAGAAGGATCAAGATTTTGAGTTGATAAGGAAATTTTGAAGGTTTGAGATCACGAGCAACTATAAGATCAAAAATTATGTCAAAAGAGAAGACAATTAAAATAAATACACAAACAATAACAGGATAAGTGTGAACAGTAAACTGTTGAAATTAAGGTTGACTAAACAAGCTACTAGTTTCAAGTCGAGAAATTCAAGTATTAACTAGCAAAAAAACATAGTTTCAGACCTTAGTGTTCTAACGAATAAAAGAATCATTAAATTAAATGTATTTCATATAATAACACTTTTCATTGTCGTATCTACACACAATTTTAATACGACTAGATTATAAGAATTAAAGATGACACGGAAAAAGCTTTCAAAAAGATACCTGGTTTGAAACAAATCATGCCGGAAGAATATGGAGGGTGTAATGGTCCAGTTAAAGATTTAATCGGTAAGTAAAGTTGCCACTTTTTTCTTTAATCTACCGTCGATTAAACTTTGCAGCTTCCAGAAAAATTACATCTGAATAAAGAATGACAAATTTAACATTAATTAATTGTAAACTGTGTTTTTCTACTGAATACACTTTTATTATGCTAGCAGACATTGAAGTTTTGATTGAGCGCATGAATCGATTAATGTTAGATCACCGTGAAAAACTTGGAAGCACTGGACGACCGTCCCGTCCTAGTATGGGACTCCTCAGAAGTGCGCACTCGCGACCCTTGGAGTGAGGTTCAGACCCGGAACCTTCGGTCTCGCATGCGACGCTTAATCTCTAGACCACTGAACCGGCATCCAACGACTATAATGTCTAAATTCAAATAATCCACGAAATTGCACGACCATCGTAGATTGTATGAAGTAGATACATATCTCTACCTGACACTCATTATCTCCAGTGCTTTCAGGTTTCCAATGGTAATCCAAAATTGATCGATTCATGATCTCAATCATAAGCTTAACAATCTCTGCAACCCTATACTGATAGATACCGAAGTAGCGAAAAGTATTTGTTTCCACATAGAATTCATATTATGCTAAATTCACTGATCACAATGGTTCAATTTTCCATCTGATTTTTATACTCATAATCCATCTTCTATAACTTCAGATAACTACTAATTTACCTGCTGCATAACCGGTTTTGTTTCTCATTATTATATGCAACTGATTGTTTGTGAGTTAATCTATTCGCATAAAATGTAAAAATTTGCATCTTTCTAAATGAAGGTGGATATTTAGTTTAAAATAGTTTCAGTCAAGCTTGATAAGGTTTTACTCGTACTTAACCACAATCTATCGTGTTATGCACCGATGGCTAGCATAAAACTATGATGAAAGGACTGGAGTAGTCAAATCAACAGATTAACTACTTATTGGGAAGGAGTGAGATAATGTAGATTTCCTGATCAATATTAGCATGATAGTCATGATAAGTATCGATATGGCTGTCAACAGTTCGAACTAGATTATCTTGGTTTAGTTATTTTATTACTAATGATTCTATTATTATATTAATAACCTCGTTTCCGCCTATGAATATCTATTTTTCTGATGAAAACCTATTTGATGTATATTTTGGTTAGATTCTACACTGTTCATGTTAAGTTACAATCATTTCTGAGTATTTCCATAGTCTTAACCTCAACCAGATAATCTGAAGAGTATAATAATAATATGAATAATAAGAAAATATATTCTGAGAATAATTATAAGATAAACTCCAATTTTACAGGAAGGATCAGGTTGATACAAATAATAATTCAGTATTTCAAAAAAAGAGTAAATTATCTGACGAGATGTTCTTTTTGAACATTTGTCACAAAGATGTTAATAAAATGGTGAATATGATGCAAACAAAAAGCGTAATCTCATTGTACAACATTTTGATTAGACCATACACAAAAACAGTCATCATTCCTGTAAACAAAGAATCGTATTCGGTATACAGTGTAAGAAGGTGATAGGTACGCTAAGAAAATGGTGTAGTTACAACGTTGTAAGTGTTCTGGATGAAAGTTGTCGTATAGGGCTCATCAATTAGGAACTAACATTTTGTTAGTAGGCAAACTATCACGATATGTTTGCGAACAAATTTTCGAGCGAAAGAAAATATAAGTCCCGTTTCAGGTTACTTACAATTACCTATAAGTAGAAAAGTGATAACGATAGATTTCTAAATTCAAAAACTGAACAATATAACATCGAATTCAAAGTGAAGTGTAATTTCGCTTAAAATTCTTTGCACACTTTATTGCTGAATACTTACTGAAGGCTATCAGGAAGAAGTAAGTATACGACCCATTAATTCATTATATTGTTATTTAGTGCCATTCAATCTACTGACGCTGTAAATTGTATACATGTGTTTAGTTATTGACTAATTAATATAAACTAATGCTCATATCATCATATTGAAATTTGACTATTGGACAGATAGGTAACTGATATAGAATTCAGTGTCACTTTGATACAGTTTCTGAACCACTGATTGAATTAATGATTGAGGCTGTAGTGGACTTATTTTTTAGACACAGATAATCTTGGTATGTCGTGTCAATTTACATAGGAAACTTAATATTTATCATCTTATATTGTTGTTTTTATTCTATTTCTCATTTTTTAAAGCTTTAGATAAAAAAAACTTCAAGACATTTTATTCAAAGGCATGTTGCCTAAGTTCTATAAAAGTCGATGAATCTAAACGTCCACTTTCCGCTCAGAATTACATGCGTGAATATAAAGATATTGAAGGTACTACAATGGGTAGTAAAGGCACATTTATTTCACTTAATCCTGATGATTAATGACCTACAATTGTTGATTAGTTAACATTGAATAAAAGACAATGATATTTTCCATTTCTCTTTTGCCTACTTCATTTATTTTCTTTAAACTTGATCGAACTATTCTAAATCTCTATAGAGAAGAATGGCTTCAATTGAATTTGTTATGATTTTAAAATACTATTCACTTCAAAATAGACTGACATTATTGGAGTAAAGTTGTTTTAATATCTCAGAAACGTTTATCAACATTAAACACAAGTAACGATTTGTACATGTCATAATGATTATCTATTTCTATCTAATTATTGACACCTTCTGTATAACATATTATTAAAGTTGGAAAAACGAAGTTTATATGCTTCCTGAACTACTTTACATTTCGGTCTGTTCAAGTTAAACTATTACGTGATTTCTAATTTTGGTTTCCGAAAGTCTTGATATCGATCTACACGTCACAGTCACCAACAAAACGCGACAGAAATGCATTTAACCAGCTATCTGTTGCAATATGATTAATACATATGGTTGTTTTTCCTATTTCTACTTCCTTAACATTAAGTCAGCTAAATTTCAGAGTCTGGTTTATGTGAACATAAACCAAACAAAATGTAATGTGTTTTGAAGTTATAAAATGAGATGAGGTTATGTTAGGTCTGAGGAAGACTATCATTTTATACTTCGAAAAATATCATGCTGTCGACCAGTTTTAATTTCAGTCATATAAAAATCCATTCACGGTTAAACATTATAATATATTGTCTTTCTAACACTCCTTATACCTAATAATATACCCACTTAAATATTACCAAGATAACCAGTTTAACTACAGAGAAACTGTCTTGAGCCGAGAACAATAAATTCAAGCACGCATTCTTGAAAATATTCAGCTTTTAATTCTTTCTGCTTAGTCGACAATTTTAGTGCTGTCAATCATATTTCTGTGCCCCGAATGGTCTGGTATAATATCTCACTCTTAACTACCAAACAGATCTTAACGACTTCATTCCATATTAACTCAATAAAATGAGGGACAGGTTCCAAGATTAGTGAAGCAATACTAAGAATTGGTTGGACTGACTTGAATGAAAATGATGATACTACTACTGATATGGATGTCTACTGTGACTAGAAAGAAACTGTTACTATTTAATTGTTAAACAGAAGACTGATATTGCTCAAAGAAAATAAGAACGTATGACTGCATGTAGAAATTTAATTATTCAACAAACACAGATTTTATCACTCATTTATCACTGATCTACAACTGATTAAAACGACATCGAAGTATATGACATATTTATGTGACTACAAATGTCTAGCCAGTAAATAAATTCGAATGCATTGGACTGGCATTATTTAAAATTAGTGAATCAGTATTACGATGGAAACTTACAGGGTGGAAAACCAATAGATTGACTGCTTTAAACAATAAATATAGCTCATTACTTAGTCCTACATTTTCCTCCTTCATATCACTATCCAAATCATTTTCTAACGTTGAATATATCCTAGCGTCAGAAAATCGGTTCCTGATTGTTGCGTTGTTCACCATGGCTAGTCAATATTAGGGATTGTAACAAGTATTACTCCATTAACTTCGGGAGTTCAGTACACAGCATAGTTTGTTCATCAACTATTATCACTGTAATTTAGCAATCTTTTGCGCCAAACAAACCATCAATCTAGTAAGATTCAACCTGCCCTCTGAGCTTACTGAGGAAGCAAGATAGCCGCACTATCAGTTTAGAGTTGGTTTGGGTTAGGGGCGTACGTAGGTCGGACAGCTACACTGTTCCAGTGAACTCGGATGATTTGAGACTATTTGTCGAAAAGTATGATAAAGCGCTTTTTATTGACCACAAAATCTACAAAGCTGCACTTAGAGCAAATATAGCGGCCCGTATTTATCTTAACCGGAAATTTTCAAGCCACCTTCCATTCATATGGCATGTTAGTGTGTTTCTGTTATATCCCGTTGAGAATGAATGGTAAGTTTCGAGATCCATTTATGGACAAATACTATACATACATTTTTATCCTATACTTGATAAGTAGCTAAACTATTCATATTCATCTTCCTTATATCATAAGCTATATTTTGATCCACAGACTATTATCATACGATTTACCATTCTTGAGTTGTGCCCTATCTTTTAATTACTATCTCCCTCATTCACAGCCACATTTGGCTAAATCTTATACAAATGTTGTTTCATATTTTATGGTACGATGTGGTCTGTCTGGTTGATATATAAACGCTGTATGGTTGAAATAAATGATTCATATCTCAGAGAGTGGACTTAACAGGCTGGGCTAGGTGGGAAGCAGGACCGATAAGGGCTCTTGACTGCTTGTACGGGTTTTATGCGTCATTGGTTCGGTCGATAATTCACTGTTCTCTAGTTGGCGGTATCATCATGTTATGCATTAATAAGACACAGGGCACAAGTTATAACAATTAGCAACGGGGTGAAAAAAATTCCGAACCCTCAATCTTCAAAATAAATAATCAAGGTCAGCCTGTAATTGGACGAAACTCAGTGTATTTATTCCGAACAATCAGCATACAGATTTTTCTTCGGTGTCCTTGAACGACATTGGTTGGTTGGCTGTGTTTTCTATTACTGTTCTGATTCATACAGAAACAGAAAATGGATATCTCTCTCGATCAATTGCAGTTGCCATTTTAGCGACAACAGCAGTGTTTCAAAAAGAGCCAATTAAATTTTATAGACAATTTACGCACACGGCTGCTGAATCACCCATGCTTTGGATATGTGACAGAAGTTGAATTAATTTCCAATTTGCATACAGAGCTAGAAAATGACTGCAGAACGTACAAACGTGTCGATGAAAGCCTCCATGAATCCTTGACAAGCTGTAAAGTAAACGAAGCAGTAGCAGTCACTCAAGATCCGCCCAGTGGTCCAGAAACGTCCATTTTAGAGACATGCCCTGTAGTGGGTTCGAATCCCATTATCCCTGAAACAGAATGCACAAACAGTGACTTGTCCAGCTCACAAAAGGACCATGCCCTGTTAAATGTTCATGAAATTGTCGCAGTAACTGTCAACGAAGAAACAGAAAATAAATCGAGCATTACAATCAATGCAGGTGCACCAAACAGAGCTCATCATTCTGCGATAGAAGTTTCTGATGGATCTAGTCATCATGATTCTCTTGTTTAACCAGGTATGAGTTATCTTAGTGATTCACATGTTCATGATAAAAAATTTTATAAAAATGAGGAAAATATGTCAGATGCATCAAATGATAATCAAGAACCTAATGCAGTTTTGATGGATGCTGATTATCATAGAGACCCACTGTCTACTAATGAGATTATCAATAAATATGAGGAAGCTATTTCAGAAGAATCAAACCTTGATAACCTCATATCAAGCGTCCTTGATCCTCACTATTTAGTCACTTTTCGTAGATCCTCTGTTCAACGGGACAAATGTGTTTAAAATAAAGTCAAAGTAATTGTAACTTAGGAATATGGGGATCCAACACTTTTGTACCTGACAATATACCATCTGAGGCACTGAAGTCAGACATCAAAATAACTACAAATGTGCTTCACCTTCTATTCAAGAAGATTTGGGAGGAGGGGGAAAAAGTGCCGATGGACTGGAAAGAAGAACACCTCATCAATATACCAAAGAAAGGAGAACTCAGCAAGTGTAAGAACGACAGAGGGATTACACTACTGTCAGTACCATGAAAAGTTTTCAACAGTGTTTCCGAACTGTACGAAAGATGCAGTGTACGCCCAACTTCGAGATCAACAGTCTGGATTCCGCAAGGACCGGTCGTGCCAGACGAAATTGCAACACTACGGATCATCGATGAACAACCAGTTGAATGAAACTCGTCACTATACATCAACTTCATTGACTATGAGAAGGCGTTTGACAGTGCGGACAGGAGAGCATTATGGAGCCTTCTTCGACACTATAGTGTACGTGAGAAGATCGTGAACATCATCTAGAATTCATAAGACGGAATACAGTGCAAAGTGCTGCATGAGGGACAGCTGACAGACGCATTGCAAGTGAGGACGTGTGTCAGACAAGATTGCTTACTCTCTCCCTTCCTCTTTCTTCTGGTGGTCGACTGGATTATAAAGACCTCGACATCTGGTGGGAAGCACGTAATACAACGAACACGTTATTATTTATTTCAATAGTTGAGATTATGAGTCAATTGATACTAGACAATCATGGAAAAACTGGAAGCACTGAACGGCCGTTTCGTCCTATTGTGGGACTCCTCAGTAGTGCGCGTCCACGACCCTGCCTCGTAGGATTCGAACCTGGGACCTACAATCTCCACAAAATCCCTGGTATTATTTATTCATTTGAACACATAAATATCGGTACAAAGGGGCACCGAATCCATATGCGCTACACAAGTTACTTGACTTGTGGAATAAAATGGACAGGTTGGATGCAACTAGGTGATTTGACTTAGAAGATGACCTCGCTCATCTATCCTATACACACGAACAAATACAGATGAAGACAACTAGTGTAGCAGCAGTCTCTGCATCAATGGGCCTCAAAATACACAAAGGGAAAAGCAAGCTCCTCAAATACAATTCGGAAAACACCAATCCAATCACACTTGATGTAAAAGTCCTGTAAGATGTGGAATCTTTCACGAACTTGGGAAGCATCATCGATGAAAGTGGAGGATCTAATGTAGACGTAAAGGTGGGGATTGGCAAAGCAAGGACCGCATTCCTACAATTCAAGAACATATGTAACTCAAAACAACTGTCAGACAATGCAAGTCAGAATCTTCAGTGCGAACGTCAAGACAGTTCCATTGTACGGAACTGAAACATGGCGAACTGCTACAATCATCATCAAAAGAGTACAAGTATTTATAAACAGTTGTGTAAGCGAGATACTCAATATCCGTTGGTCGGAAATCATCAGCAACTCCCTACTGTGAGAGAGGACAAACCAACCTCCAGCTAAAGAGGAAATTAGGGAAAGACGTTGGAAGTGGATAGGACATACATTACGGAAATCATCAAGCTGCATCACGAAGCAAGCGCTAACTTGGAACCTTGAAGGGAAAAGGGGAAGAGGAAGGTCGAAGAACACACTACGCCGGGAATCATAAGCAGACATGGAAAGGATCAATAGCAACTGGAAAGGATTGCTCAAGGCAGGGTTGAATGGAGAGTGGGCAGCCTATGCTCCTCCACGAGGAGTAACAGACGATGGTGATGAAGTTAATGATGGTGACAGGTTATTTATTTTTCATAGAATCAAAGAGTGGTAGCGCTCAGAACCTAAAACTCGTTTTGAGCACGATGTTAAGTTGATCAAAGATCTACTAAATGAGCTAATGCCACAGGATATCTCCAGAGTCACCCTGCTAAATTTGTTTAGACTAGATAGCCAAATGAACTTGAAACAGGATCAGACCAGGCTGCTTAATGTAATATTTAAATCTACCAATGAACGGAACTTAATACTACGGAATGGACACAAACTTAATGGGCAAGAAGTGTTTGTCCGTAAGGTTTGCCGTTCGTAGACGTTGTGAAAAGGCGAGAGGCCGAAAAACAACTAAAACTTTGGTTGGATGCTAACGAAAAAGACTAATAATTTTGGGTTGTAATGCCTCAACAGGGAATGATGCCGAAGCCGCTTCGGGTGCATCATGGAGTCATTTAATTAAGCTTTGATCCTGATATACAAATGCCCAAAACTTGTTGAACAAGCGAACGGAACTAGGCTTATCAAGGCGAATGTAATGATAGTCACAGAAACTTGGTTGACGCAGCCCACTGACAGTATGGAACTGGATTTTGAAGGTCTCACGTTAGTAAGAGCCGACAGAATCCCGAAGCATAAAGGAGAGGTAACTCTATTTATCAGGATTACTATCTCACTTGCCATTAGCGACAGTATCCCATGAGAGTGAATTAGCTAGTTGCCGCCTAAAATGCAAGGGACAAAAAATGCTGAGCTGTGAGGTAAATGAGGTCTCGTTAAATGGTCTCAATATGGTGATCAATGTCTAATCATAGGACACTTTGACGCACCCACAATGGACTGGAAAAACCTGAGCATTGAATTGTTAAAAAATACCTCCGAACAGGAACTAGCTGATGCGGTTATCACATGTGCCCAAGTGCAACATGTGAAAGAAGCGACTATGTAAGACCCGAACTTTGAATCCTCCTTACCACATATTATATTGACCCATTATGAGGATAACGTCACAAAACTCCATTACACGCCACCCTCAGGTAGATGTAATCATAAAGTTCTAATCTTTGATTTCAATACAGCTGTCAACAACGGACAGACGTCGGCCAAACCCACAGTTAACGTCCAAAAAGAAATATACAGAACATTTTATGTACTTAGCATCGTCAGTAGATTGAACGATAGAGCCGGAGACCTATTTGTATTTCGAAATTTGTATTTAAAAGTTACTGCACCCCACATCACTTGGACAACACCATGTGGTCCAAGAAACTCTCCACCATGGTTCAGTAGGGAAGTTCTCACCCTTCTGTGTAGGAGAAGAATGCACGGAAGATTGAAGTTACTGGGTGCTGATGAGGCAAAATATAAATATCGTGAAGCTAGGAATATTTCTGCCTCGATCCTCCGTGAGTCTTGAAGGTTAAAGAATCTATAGAATACTTAGACGCTAGTATTCGTTTATATACCAAATGACTAAGAGAAGAAGAAATATCCCAGCACTGTGGGGCAAAAGCAATGCTTCATCTTTAGTGGAGGACGACTACGGTAAAGCTCAAGTATTATCAAACTACTCTAGCAATGTGTAAACCGTAGGGATACACCGCTAGTTCATACAAATCCTCACACAAATACAATGGACAATGTGGCCATTAAATAACTCGATGTCTTTTTCTGCTAAATAAACTTAGCATAGGCAAACCCACCGGACCCGATGAAATGCACCCCAGGTTACTCAAGGAACCAACAAATTTCGGTATGAACCCCTTGAGCATATGTTTTAATCTATCCGTAACGCAGGATCGATTACCAAAAGACTGGAAGAACGCCATGGTAAGTCCTGTCTTCAAAATAGGTACGAAACATATATCTCAGAACTACCGACCAGTTGGCCTGAATAGCGTGGTTTTTAAAATACTAGAAAGGATTATTTAGAAGGAGCTGTTTATGTATCTCGATGAAAACCGGATTCTTTCTGAAAAGTAGCACGGCTTCAGAATACATTATTCCTATCTCATTGACTTATTAGTAGCTCGTGAAAATTGGTACCCTCTGAAAGACAAAGAATAACCAACAGACGTTGGATTAACTGAGCCCACACCACTTCCAGGACAAACCCAGGCCATCTAGCCTGCTGTTCTTTCCAAACTGAAATTGATTATCCATACAGTGTGCATTTTAGTCCCGGTATATCAAGTTTGAAACCTGAATATCCAACAAAAATAAATCAGACGTTTATCCAATACATCATGAGTATGTCTATTATCTATGCTAAAGACCAAATTGCTTAATGTTATAGCCACTGATAGGGGGAACTGGTTTGTTTGACTGCACCACTTCAGGGTCGTACTTATGGACATCAAGGTTAACATCGATGGAGTACTCAGAGAAGTGTGTGGGATTAATGAAGGAACAACATGTGAAGAAGTGATTTTTAAGCTTGCACAGATTGCTAGTTTGCCTGGATTCTATACTCTGGTTGCCAGCTGCAGAGATAAAGAAATTACACTATCTCCAGAGGAGAAAATTATAAATTTCATTAAAGAGTATGATAATTTATCTAGTTAAAAACTAATTATCATTTAAAGCACAAATAAGTTAACCTTAGTGCTGATTTTGACTTTAGTTTTATATGTGTTTGAGGTAGCATATTCTGGTTTTATCAGTAGTTCTTTAAAATAAGCCTAGTAATTTGCTCAGTAACGTAACGTCCAAATGACATTACATAAGATTTCACTGTTTTCTAACAGTAATCTTTCTTGTGAACCTGAAAATTTATCAGGAAGTAAACTTGTTTCTCTTCTGCATCCTTTTAGAAAACCGAGTAGTAGGTTTTAGACATATTACTGTCGTCTTATAGAAAAGAATGATAAATTAGAAGGTTCGGTGGGTATTTCTTGAAAACTTGTGAAGTGGATTATTATAAACAGAACTAAAAGAGTAATTCCATAAAACAGAGCAAAAGCTTCCCGGGCGTCTCCGTCAGGAGGTTGTTATCTTCAAACTAATCCTTTTTCCAAAAATATATTCCGTGAAACCTCCCTTAGTGGAACTGAAATTTTTAAGGAATTCCCTCTAGAAAAAAAAAATTGGATAATTCTATTCATGTAATCTAGTTGTCTGAGAAATGCATTACTTGGATTGTTAGCAATGCATGGAGATTCAATCACAATTTACTCCTTTTAGTTGCTTGTTCCACCAACTATTAGACTTTACTAACTTGTATTTGATAGAACGGAAAAGCTGAGACATAGATCAGAAGTTGGTCACTTCATATCTCCATACCTATATTAACTAGACTAATCAACCCTCGAACAACAGTCATAATTCGTATCCTGGTGTATGGAATTATTTCGGTTTTTCAAGATGCATTCGTCTAACGATTACTGAGACAAAGTGGAATCTAATATGGTGGGAGGAATGTAAGGCAATCAAATTCATTGAAGTAGAAATTTACAACAGATTGTATTGAGTGAGTGCCATTGAATATGAATAGAAGTTGGTTGCCAAGATCTCTCAAGTTTCTGGGAAAATTCAGTAACAAATGTTGTTTACCAGGGAGACTTACAAAAGTATACCGTTATATGTACGCAATATTGAGGAATATTTGGGCTCACCGGTGAAAGCTGCAGAAAATTTCGCTTTTGTAGGGGATCGCCGTGAAAACTGATTTTTTAGCGGAAATGTAGAAATGTTTTTCTCAAGCAGAATAGAATTATCCAATTTTTTTCTTCTAGAGGGAATTCCTTAAAAATTTCAGTTCCACTAAGAGAGCTTTCACGGAATATATTTCTGAAGGTTGATATGCGCAATTAGATCAGTTATGACTCATTACAACTTTGGACTATGTTGAAATAAATTATTCGGCGATGACTGAGTGACTTGGTGTCTGTTTGTCGACGACTGAGCTTCAAGGAGAAAAAACTGCTGGTCTAGAGGAATTGGCTCCAGAGGTCTTTAAGGATGATGGTTCAATTTTAGCGATTGGGTTGACTAATATTTTAGCTAAGATCTGGGAGTTAGACGTTATTCCATCTGACTGGTCACAATCACTTATCGTCCCAATATATAAGAAAGGGTTAAAATCATCCTGTGACAACCATAGAAGGATTATTTTAACTAATATAGTATCTAAAATACTAGCCTCGATAATTATCGGTCGCCTAACTAAGACTCGTGAACTGCAAACACGAGAGAATCAAGCTGGCTTCAGACCTGGTTGTGGTTGCATCGACCACACATCCACCATTCGTCAGGTTCTAGAACACAGGCATACTTATCGGCGTCCGACAATGGTGGTTTTTCTTGACCTGAAGGCAGCATTTGACTCTGTAAACCGCGAGATTCTGTGGCAGTGTCTGTCATTGAAAGGCGTATCTCAGAAGTACATAAACCTTGTGAAGGCTCTTTACTCGAACACTACCAGTCGAGTCAGAGCTTATGGTGAACAGTCATCTGCTTTTGCAACTTCAAATGGTGTCCGCCAAGGCTGCCCGCTTTCTCCATTTTTGTCTAACTTCGTCATAGACCTACTGATGGAAATAACATTCTCGTCGACTGAATTCTCTGGTATTGACCTCCTTCCAGGAGGTCCACTTATCGACTTAGAATACGCAGATGATATAGTCCCGTTTAGTGAAGACGCTGATAAAATGCAGTGACTTTTAATAACACTGAGCAACAATGCCAGAATGTTTGCGATGCGCTTCCCCCCTATCTAAATGCAAGTTGTTGCTTCAGGACTGGTCTGCGTCAACACCTGAACTAAGGATAGGGAGTGAAGTAGTCGGACGCATTGACAACTTCACTTATCTCTGAAGTCTGATCAACCCTAATGAGTTGATGTCTGACGGAATCTCTACCCGGATTCAAAAAGCTCGTTTGGCTTTTGCCAACTTACGTCACTTATAGCAAAGGCGAGATATCCGTCTCAACTAAGGGACCAGTATACATACAAATCATGCGGCGCATATATATTCGGTGCCTCTTTGTACCAATATTTATGTGTTCAAATAAATAACCAGTATACCGCACAGCAGTTCGTTCTGTTTTACTTTGCGGCTGCGAAACGTGACCATTAATGGTAGAGGATACTCGTAAGTTACTAGTATTTGATTACAGATGTCTTAGAAATATTGTTCGCATCTGCTGGGATCACCAGGTAAGTAATAGTGAGGTCAGACGCATGGTATTAGAGGATAATGGTAAACCAGTTGATGAGGTTGTGAACCTACATCGACTGAGATGGTTGGCCCACGTGTTGCGTATGTCTGAACACCGATGACCACGACGCGCAATGCTGACTAGTGTTGGAGACGGTTGGAAGAAATTTAAGAGCGTCCAAATCAAAACGTGACATCGTTCCATGAAGTCACTAACTTCTGATCTGAGCCATGTTGTTAGATGCAGACTATTTGGTTGGGGTCCGCGCGACTATCGTAACCAATGGTTCGAGACTCTGTGTGACGGCTTAGAATCAATCACAATGGCGTAGGTGTATACACTCTTTGTTTTCCCTGAAACCGTGAGATTAGAATTATGTTGTTACTTTTCTTTCTACGAACTGATTCTTTCTCTCTGTATCATATTTTTATATGCAATCTTTGTTTTATATATTAGTATAATTTAAGTATCTGCTTCTGCGAATTTGGTGTTCATTGTGTTGTGCTAGTGAGGTATGGCAACTTGGACCGATGCATATATGTGCCTAGTTCTACGTTGTAGGTGACTGGATTGAGCCTAGAACTTAGTTGTTGGCAATCGAATACCACAACCTTTTAATCACCGCTTCCCAACATCTTGTGAAGGCTCTTTACTCGAACACTACTAGTCGAGTCAGGGCTTATGGCGAACTGTCATCTACTTTTGCAACCTCAAGTGGTGTCCGTCAAGGCTGTCCACTTTCTCCATTTTTGTTTAACTTCATCATAGACCTATTGATGGAAATAACACTCTCGTCGACTGAATTCTCGGGTATTGATCTCCTTCCAGGAGGTCCACTTATCGACTTAGAATACGCAGATGACATAGTCCTGTTTGGTGAAGACGCTGACAAAATGCAGAGTCTTCTGGTAGCACTAAGCAACAATGCCAGAATGTTTGGGATGCGCTTCTCTCCCTCTAAATGCAAGTTGTTGCTTCAGGACTGGTCTGCGTCAACACCTGAACTAAGGATAGGGAGTGATGTAGTTGAACGCGTTGACAACTTCACTTATCTTGGAAGTCTGATCAGCCCTAATGGGTTGGTGTCTGACGAAATCTCAGCACGGATTCGAAAAGCTCGTTTGGCTTTTGCCAACTTACGTCACCTATGGCGAAGGCGAGATATCCGTCTATCAATAAAAGGACGAGTATACTGCGCGGCAGTTCGTTCTGTTTTAATTTACGGCAGCGAAACATGGCCCTTAAGAGTAGAAGACACCCGTAAGCTACTAGTATTTGACCACAGATGCCTTAGAAATATTGCTGGCATCTGCTGGGATCACCGGGTAAGTAATAGTGAGGTTAGACGCAGGGTATTAGGGGATGATGGTAAATCAGTTGATGAGGTTATGAATCTTCATCGACTGAGATGGTTGGGCCACGTATTACGTATGCCTGAACACCGATTACCACGACGTGCAATGCTAACCGAGGTAGGGGATGGTTGGAAGAAAGTTAGGGGCGGCCAAACCAAAACGTGGCATCAGTACCTGAAGTCACTAACTTCTAGTCTGAGCCATGTTGGTAGATGCAGACTACTTGGTTGGGGTCCGCGTGACTTTCGTAACCAATGGTTGGAGACTCTTGGTGACATGGCTCAGAATCGATCACAATGGCGTCGGTGTATACACTCACTGTCTTCCCTTAAACTAAAAGATTAAAATCACTTCATTCTTTCTGTCTACGAACTAATTCTTTCTTCCTATACTATATCCTTATTGCAACCTTTGACCTAACCACTCCTATGAATCCGGTGTTCATCTTGCTGTGCTAATGAGGTATGGCAACCTGGACCGACGCACATATGTGCCTGGTCCTACGTTGTAGCTGACTGACTCCCAACATCTGTGTATACGCTTATCACTATGTGGCTATATATTTAGTCCTATTTATCGATTCAAAAAGTAATGGAGTTTCCTAGTGTTGCCTCTGTTGTTAGTTTTATGAGTTATATCAAAGTCATGTTCTGCTAAGCCTCATTTTATTCTATTTGCTTATGTATCTGGATTACAAGTTTCTCACGTTAATCAATATTGTTCTGTAGAGTAGAAACGCTAATTAGCTTCTGACAATATTCACCACCACATAAGCGGAATATTTACAAATTTTTCATTGAAGTTTTATAGAAAAGAAATAATCCAACAAATTTTCAGCTTTTTAACCACGAAGCTAACTAAAATCAGTATAACTTACTGGCCAAGTTCAGTTTCATGCACTGAGTTTTGATTTACAGTTATTTTGTTTAGAGATTATAAGTACCGTCGGATTTTAATGCTAGAGCACGTTTTTAGCTAATGATTAGAGCCTGAGACAAGCGCGATCCCATCTACTCACGTTCGGGTTCGTGCGATAACCGTGACCTGTGGTGCCCCCAAATGTACTGGTTGGTTGAGCAATTTAGTTGACATGGTTTGGAATCTTTCATAACAGTGCAGATTCACCCACTCTATCTTCCCCTCGATCTTCAATTCCAGTATTTCTTCATACATATCTTTTCATTCGGTCTTTATGTTACGAAAGTTTTCCGATTTGGTTAGAAGAAATTTTCGATTGTCAAAATCGATGAATAGAATTCTAATGAATAGATTAACCCAATATTTTAGTGACCGAGTGATGACTACTCATGGAACCGTATTATCAGGAATCAAAGACCATTAACCAGACGGATAGTTTCTTCATTTAATAAGATAACACGCTTATGTACAAAATATAAACAGGACCAAATGTCATAAGTGATCGGATAGAATTGACATGTAGTTCAGTCGTTTTCATATCAACATGGGCCTGACTTTTAGGTTGAATCTTTAAAGTATTGTACTACTTTTCAAAACATAATCTCAATGCTCAATCTTTCTTAATGTCATCGCTACCATACCATTTCGATTTCTTTTGTTATTGCTATCTCGTCATGATGATGTAGTATGGCGAATTGAGCCAGTACACAACCCTACTAGACTCTATGTTGATGATGATTGACAGTCCACAGTCCATTTGACTCATCAAAGTCAGTATTTTAAACCTGAGCCATTTTCTTCTATAAAATTGACACTGGTGTATTCTGTACCGCTTGCACTGTGAGTTTGTTTTAAAAATTTTCAGAACTAAAGAAAATCCATCTAACATATGTTTTATTCTTCGTCGATTGGAGGCTGTATCTCCTTTCTCTCCGAAAATCCCCAAAGCATATCCTCCTATTCCCAATCATCAACCGACAAGTCGTCCTCATCAACAGTCCTCTCGTAGTTCATCACGACGTTCTAATGTTCCAGTGACATCTGAAAATAAAGAATTATATTCCTCTACTTCATCATCCTTACCGATTCCAGCTCAGCAATATGCTAGTTCTGCAAAGCAATCAAGAATATATCGTTGTGATCCTAGTCATGAACTAATTCATTCTACCTTAGTAACCAGTGCTGCTGGTGAAGAAAAATCATATCACGGTACGCTATTCATGTTGAGATGGAACTTTACAGAACTTATATTTGTTTTACATTACTTTTTCGACAATCATATTTTATTTGAGATCATAAATCGATTGATTTTAGATCACCATGGAAAACCTGGAAGCATTGGACGACCGTCTCGTCATAGTATGAAACTCCTTAGCAGTGCACATTCACAATCCTACACGCAGGACTCAAACCCAGGACCTTCGGTCTCGTACACGAATGCTCAACCTCGAGACAATTGAGCCGGTATCCTACGGTGTTAATGTCTAACTTCAACCAATCCACGAAATGGCACGACCATCTTTCATTGTAATGAGGTAGATACTTGTCTCTACCTGACATAAATTAGCTCCACTGGTCACGGCTTCTCACTAGAACTGCGAGGACTCCCTCACGAAGCTAGTCACTAGTGAGCACATGGTAATTACCAGTATGAGGAGTCTCATACTAGGACGAAACGACCGTCCAGAGCTTTCAGGTTTTAAATGATGACCTAACATCAATTGATTCATGATCTCAATCAAAAACTTGGTAATCTCCAGAACGCCATAGCGATAATCATACTTTAATCTGCTTCAAATTCCTCGCATTTTACTACCTACAAATCCAATCAATTCACGGTAAATCTGTCCATTAAAGTGCATCTTTTTAATATCGATCTTCAAATACAAATTCAGCCTAAGAAAAACTTAAAAACGGTCGGACACTGAAATGAATACTGTTGAGTAATATGAATGTTGGATTAGTAGTTAAGGTAACTATGTCCCAGGTTCTAGCCCCACCTCAACTACTTCGGATTATAGCAAACAGTTAGTATCAATGACCCTCACACTTAGAGTGTGGTTCATGTTCAAATACCTGGCAAATAAATCTATCTATTAGTATGATTGGACAAATATCTGCTTGTTTTCCAATATATCTCTATAATTTATGTATTACCACTCATACTAATCTAAGTTTTAGTCGATCGAAATGATCAGTAACTACTCTTTGCATTTCTATTCGCGTACAATGTTAAAGTTCGATATTTTTCTGTTTTCGCAGGACTGGATTATTTCTTTTTTTAGATTATGGCATGGTTTACAAGATTCACAAAATATCCTTACATTATGTCCTCCCTTTCTACAAGTTTTATAAACTGAAGATATTGTCCTAGACGTGTATTCTCGAAGACCATATATAGCTGATGGTCACACCTTTTTGTTTTAAACGTTACACTACTCATGAGTAGCTTAAAATTATTAGTAAAATTGATTCGCAGTGTTATAGATATTCCAATGTAGGATGTAGTAACTTTCTAGCATGCGACAAAAGTCGTAAGCCATTGACATGGCATATGAAAGTAAGAAAAGAGGTTTTTCAATTCTGGTCAAGCTCACAATAATTTACTTTCATGACATTTTGGAGAATATTCGGTATGTATGTTGCGAAGATCGACAGATGTACATAAAAATAAATAACTGTTGGTTGACATTATTTTATTTATTTATTTTAGCACATAGATATTGGTACAAGGAGGCACCGAATACATATGCGCCACACAAATCTCATTCGATATGTTTGAGGGCTGTGATACTGCCCGGGTGCCCAAACCGAACCAGGTGGTTTTCTTAGGGGGCCACTCCTCGAGCCTTCGACCTGAAGGTCTGATCCACAAAGCAATGGAGCGTTGTAAGGAGGTGCAGTCCCATGGAAGCCGGTGACCAACGATTGGTTTATACGCCATTTGTTCCCGCAGGATACCGGAGCCAATGTGTACCGTTGGTTTGGAATCAGGGTTTTCCAACTCCCCTAAATGAACTCTGTATGTCCACCAACCCGGTCAAAGCGCCGGACATTCGTTTTTCTTCCTCTCAATTTCGTAAACAACACCCGTGGTGCGAGAAAGCAGTAAGTAGGACTTCCCTGGCAGAGCCTATATACGCGTGGCCATGTGAGAGCATTTCGAGAGGGAGAGCTGACTCTCCCCACTCTCGGCTGTACCAGGGCATTTGGGGGTTGTTGGTTGACAATTCATCACAAAGATTATGAACCGTTTCCGTAATGACACGTTTAATTTTTTAGTAAGATGTAATTTAATTTTAATATGGATAGAGCAATGAGAAGCCTTGGTGTTATAATCTCTTTCTTACGGCTATGACCCAGCTATTCCTATTGCTTAGTATTCTTAGACACCGATTCACTCGACAAGTCCCCAAATCAGAACACGGTTGAACAGGAAAGAGATTATATTCCAAATAACAATGTTAGATGGAAGTAAGAGGCACAATAGGGAAAACGTCAGTATTTTTATAGTTTTTACATGAAAAGGTTCCAGAGCATTCTCACAATATCGGCAAGTGCTGATTGGATAGGAATTAGCCAATCAGCGTGCACCAAAGCAATCGTGCTTTGAGCATGCTTTAATCCAGTCTATGTCCCGATAACAGTTGGCCATTCGGAAATTCAAACCCCTTTTTGTGTGTATAGAAATGACGTGTCGTAATTTTGAATTTGCCTTATTAATATTTTAGCCCTTCAGTGTGCTAGAATGGTGTTGCGATTCCCTATTCATTCTTTATTATGTTTTGTCTTTCCTTTACTTACGATCATCACATTATTTTTATTTGACCTTCATCAACTTTTATAAATGCAGATTATTCGAAACATATGAGAGAATATACATCACGTTTTAGATCACCTATATCCTCTCATTGCTCTGTCAAAATTTATAGAAGAGACTACTTACTTTGGGTTTTGATATGTGGTTTTGTGAACATATAAACTACTTTTTACGTATGCTTTCACGTTTGTTTTGAAAGATCGACTAAGAGGACGTTGTAGAGTGAGTAAAATAGTTGGATATTAGTCTCAGTGATCAAGGCGTCCGATTTTTAGCAACTAAGTCCTGGTTTTGAACCCTGCCACACATAGTCCTGCTTAAATAAGCAGGTAGTATAAATAGCCCTCGCATTCAGTGTGGCCCACTCCCAAGTAGCTGGTGAAAGATTTAATACAATTTACATTAATTTATAAATAGTGATGTAAAAGAAATTTTACATTTACCTGACAAGTGCAAAAAATAGGAAGAGATGTGCGTCCTGAATTTCACTCCTGATCACATTCCCAACTGACTAAACTTTCTTAAATGCTTAAAACAACACTTCAAAGTCAAACCAGTCACCACAACAAGTTCAATGTGTATTAACCGTATATTGGTAAAATTCATACCGTTTATCATACACTTCACTCTTGTTTCCGACTTTCAAATTTATGGGAACAAACTAGGTATGGAGTGTGGTTTGTCACTTTTTCCTTGCGTTAAACATTTATAGTTTGTAAAGATCGATACTTCAAGAAAATTCATCAAATGAGTTTTTGTTTGCTCGTTGGAAAATAAAATTCCACTATCTGCCCCTCAATCTATTTACATTCTAGGAATTATAACGTATGGCGATAAATTAAATATCCCTTAAATCATATCATTAGTAAAAAAACAGTTTATGTAGACATCATCTGACTGATTAAAATGAATCAAACATTAAAAGCTGTGTAGTGTCTGAGTTTTTAAAAAATGGACAATCGAAAAGTGTAAGTACATCTCTCTCTATTTACACCAACCTCCTACAGATGGAAACCATTATTGACTCTTAAATAATAAATCTATGGTTCAGCACCGAGTACATAAACCTGTACTTGATGAGGGAATTAATATTTGTATACTTTTTCACTAGTATACAAATCTTCCTGGAGGTTGTTCAGTTTCATGATTTACATTACGGACTGAACGTAGACAACTATTGTTGACCAGAAAGCTCTGAACAATTGTTTCATCTTAGTAAGGAACTCCTTAGAAGCTCGTATCCACGAATTCACCAGAAATCATAACTAGGATCTTCAAATCCAGCTGTAAGCGTTCAGATTTTAGACCATTGATTAGGCATCTTATGGTTTATACCTCTAGTTTCAATCAACTCACGATATTGCACAACAATCCCTTAGTTACCTGAAACTCAATATGGTTAAACTCTACTAGCTACGGTTTCACACTAGAATCCTAAGAATCCCCTCGAAATAGTTTACCAACTAGTAGATACATTTCCTAACTAACTAAATATATAGCTATTTACGATTTTTGACTAACGATTGGACGTGATGTTTGCTGACCGATCAAGATTGATGACCATGTTTTTTTTTCTCTTAGATGTTGATCAATATAATCAACTTAAAGATCAGTTGGCATATCAAGAACAGCAAGTTGAACTCAATCGGATACGATTGCTTCGATTAGACAAGGGTAAACATTTTGATTAAATGTATTGTTTTTTTCAAATGGTATTTTTCAACAATGACTTGAGGAGATCAACCTGGATGATGTATTCAGTGTGCATGTTTAAAACCTTAGAGATAGACAAAGTGATGTAATTCTAATTAATATAGGGATAAGTTAATTATGATCAAGAAAACAATTTTCATCCTTTCTTTTTTGCATGAAACTCAAAAATGAATCAGTTTTGATTGAGATCATAAGTCGATCAACGTTAGAGTACCATTGAAGAACTAGAAGCACTAAACGGTCGTTTCGTCATAATACGGGGACTCCTCAGCAGTGCATATCCGCGATCCCGCGCGCGAACACTTAGTCTCTAGACTACTAAGCCGGCATCCAGCAGTGTTAACGTCTAAATTCAATCCACGAAATCGCACGACCATCTTCTATTGTCTTCGGTGAGTAACTGCCTCACACCTCGTACGGATTAGCTCCGCTGGTCACGGATGAAGTTAGACGTTAACACCGTTAGGTGCCGGATCAATAGTCTAGAGATTAAGCGTTCGCGTGAGGGATTGTGGATTTGCACTGCCGAGGAGTTCCATACTAGGACGAAACGGTCGTCCAGTGCTTCCAGGTTTTCAATGGTGGTCCAACATTGATCGATTAATGATCTTAATCAAAACTCAACAGTCTCCACAATCCTACACTGAATCAGTTTTATTTTGTGACATTCGATATTTTTGAAACACTAATGTAGTGATTAGTCGCCTAGGCTGAATGATTCTATGACGTACACAATTGTTGCGCACTAATACTAGATAATCCACCCAAAACGATTAATCATCCCATATATTAAAGCAATCAAGAATATGTTATTACCAGCCTGAATAACATAAAGCGTTCTATCATTAAAAATTAATATATTTGCAAAAATATCTATCGCAAAATACGCAGAATTATCTCCCCACACTAATTATCCAACCAAGATTATTGAATATACGTATCAACATCACATAAGAAGAAAAGCTGTAGGAGTCACGTGTGTGTGTGTGTATAGTGCTCAGAACATCTTAAGTTGTTAAGGTTTGGTGTGAGGGAATTCTTCTATATCACCGTAGAGTAAAAATGACAATGATAATAGGTAAACATGTGCACAGCAGTAGATACCACCCCGGTGGTGGTCTAGAGGTTAAGACGCACTGATGATTCGTTACATACTAGGACGAAACGGACGACCAGTACTTTCAGGTTTTCAATAATTGCATAGCTAAGACCACTTCGTGTTTTAAGCGATGAAGATGTTCAACGTGTCAAATCTTTACTGTTTTCCATGTAAATTAGACATATTATGAAAACCAATTTAATTTATCTACATCAAATTAACCATAAATCATTTTGTTTAATGGTTCACTGAATAATATGCATTTGAGCTGAATAAGCAACAGTTGTAAAATTGCCAATGATTTTCACATTAAACTCCCCCAGAACATATAGTCTTATAAGTCTTCCATCTGCTTAACTGTTTTGTGAATTAATTAAAATTTTTGTAGCCGATGATGAATTCATTTGTCGTGGTTGCTTGAATCTTCCCATTGATGTTTAGGACTGAAACTGATCAATCTCCTTTTGGGATATGTGCATCCTGTGCGGATTGCTTCGGTATTGCCTAGAATCACAAGCATTTTAGGCAGAGAAGGAATCAAGGGCGTGCGTTTCATCCTAGTTGAGACTCATCAGCTGGGTGTACCTGCGTCCTGGAGTTGATGTTCACCATCAGACTCGAACTCAGTTATCTGACGAACTTCCTATAAAACATTTTACATTTATGAGAAGGATTCATAAACAAGCCTTTAAGGTGAATATATTCATACTTGGATAGACAAGATTTATGGTAGCTATATTTCTATAATATTAAGATCGGGAAAATTTATAATATGGTTTGAGAAACTTGTTTTTAAAAAAGCTACTACAATAAGTTTCACTATTACTGTTGCAAACTACTTTTGATGTATACCAACTCTGCACACTAATTGTAAAGCAACCTCGAAATCGTAAGACCATTTTAACATCTCTGTTTTTTCATTCGTTCGTTATAGTCCCACTAAGTAGTTCCTACAGGATCTTTGATGAATGTCGAAAAGTACGAAACCTTAGTATTTTAATACCAGTTACTATTTTGATAATTAAATGACTGAACGGTTATCTATGAAGCTTTAAGCATTAAATACATTGCTTTACAATATCTTCTGCAGTCGATTGGCTCAGGAAACGCGTAACTATTCACACTATTCAACAGAAGTATATCTCATAAATACATAACCTTAATCCTAGTTTACGTCTATCTAGTGTTCGTTTTTTTCCATCCCACAACTTCCTCACATTTTTGTAGTTTTGCATCATAAATTGAGCCTATTTAGATAGCCACTAAGGACTAGGGAGTATTGGACAATTGTATCATCCTTATGAGGGACCCCACCACAGGTCGAAACCTGAACTTCCAGGTCTTGCGGCAAGCATTGAAATTACTGATCCGGCATCCAATAGTTTACATTCCTAACTTCAATTAATTCATGATACTGCGCAACCTAATTTTAATGTTAGAGTTAAGTAAACTGTCTCACGCCTAACTTGGTTGAACTATACTAATCACTACTTCTCGCCAGAACTCCAGGAGTTATGAAGTTCACCATCCCCTACTTCCGTATATTTATCTATCACATGCATATCTTTATACTCATGAACAATGCATTCAGAATAACATGTGCATAGGATATATTTTTTCTAGTGGTGTTTTATACATATATATGTATATAATACACACCATTTATCCATGTCTATCTTGTAATATATAAGTCAGTCTAATAGTGTAGTCTGTCATGGTTAGTCAGCGAGCTAATTAACTTCACCAGTGCTATACTAATTCTTCGTTAGCCAATCTGTGAAACTCGGTGTATAATCTGTCTCTCCTCTATACATGTAGACACATACAGTTGAACTACAAATCAAGGTGAAACCGCCTACGTAATTTCATTGTTTTTAATTCTTATTTTATAGACTATAAGGGAGTAGTCATGTATACAACTAACAGCTAGTTAGTCATCACATTAAACATATTCTTATAAATCTAGTCATTGTTGGGGCAATAACCTTCAAAGCCTAATCTCAAGGTTATCATTATACTCTTTCTATTACAGCTTAATTATAAGTCAGCACAGATAAAATCCATTCTAATTGTTGACAGGTTGTTACTTGTTTGTTTGATTTTTTTTCTAAAAACACAAAGAAATGAATATTGGGTTTCTTTTTGTTTTTTGCTGCTTTTGCCTAAACAAGTTAGCGATGGAGAAAAGTCACTAATGAAAAATACTTGTACACTTGCTAAAGTCAAAAAATAGATGACTATTATTGTCATCAATACAATATCATTAGAACACAATGTGAACATCATATATACTACGAGAGACAGAGATTTCAACTGTCGAGAAGTCATAGTTTAGTGTATTAATGATATAAAGTCTGAAAATTTTAGGATATGACTCTCAAACAAGTGGTTTTAAGGATTAGACGAAATTGTGCCGATTTTCATGCAATTACAAACTGTTGAAATAGGTTTTGTTCAAGACGTTCCATGTGTTAACCAAGACTGATCAAATTCCAGCCAAAAATATCAACAACGGGATAATCCAAACCATTTCAAATTGGATTATATTTTCCTGTTGAGTCTAGATAAAAGTATGAGACGGGAAATGCCCATTTAATTCCTAATCACTGATTCATTCTCTGACCAACCTCTGAGGGGTACTTCCCAAAGTTCTCGTGCGAAGCCGTGATCGTTAGAGTCCAATCATGCCGAGCGTAAGACAAATATTTCTAACTATGGCACTTGACTACAGTCACGAATTAATTGAAGTTAGAAGTGCAGGTCATTAGATGGCAACTCAACGATCTAAAAGTTAAGCCCTCGCCGCGAGGCCCGAAATCTCTGGATTTGAAACCCTAGTTGGGTCACGGACCCACACTAGTGAGGAGTCTTATACTGGGACAAGTTAGCTGTCCCTCGACTATTGCTTTTTAACTGTCGTTTAACATCAGCCGCTCTACGATGTAAAACTACAAAACTCGAAAACTTCCAGAAACCCCACTGTCATACCACACATAATCGATTATTTTCTTATCGTATGCATTCTATACACTCAGTTATAGTTTCCAAGGTAAATTAACCGTTTACTGCAAATAATTAATTAAATACGGGTCAGTTCACGCGTCATTGAACCACATACTGTATACGTGTGTTCAAAGGCTAGTTTTAGTATTCACTTTGCTAAACCAATATAGGTAGACAGGGTGAACGTGTAACCAATCTTTTTAAAGAGCAAGCAGTTCATTTCCCGAAGTGCTATTCAACCTATTGCTATGATCAAACAATTAATTGGCAAGACTCTTGGTCATAGACCAGGTCGTGGATTTAAATCAGTTGGAATGTCATTGAAAAGCCCGGTTTGTTCAATTCATGTGCTAAGCATAGATTAGTATGCTTAGCTTAGAGCCACACTCTACTTATAAGGGCTAGTGATGTCACCTGGTTACCCAAACCAAATTAGGTGTAGCGGAGTCTGGACCTGCGACTTATTGACTGAGGGTCGAGGGTCTTAACCGCTGTGATAATAGAAATACTGAGTAGCTAACTTGATCGTAATGTGCGAATATTCGGCAGCAGTGCGCGCTACTATTCGCTCGGGATTGAACCCATGTCACCTTAAGGTTTTATAATGAGTGAGTGCATCACCCTTAGACCATTGCAGTCTATAAGTTTTCATGTTCATATTGTCCCAAACTCGAACGAAACATATGTGTCTAGTGTTTCTTCGTTGTCACTGATATTATCAACCCATTACTAAGGCCAAAAATTAATATAATCTGACTACAAGTTATAACTTATCAGTAGTTAATGGGTGAATAATGAGAATAAAGGTCAATAAAAAGAATAAATGTTTACACAATCTAACATTTTCATAATTACTATACACTAACTGATCAATTATTTCTAATAAAATATTTTCTTTTCTCGCCAGAAATCAATCATTTAGAACAGTCAGCCCGATTTGGTGGTAATAACAACAATAGTAATAGTAATAAAGATGGTTATTCTACGTTGGATTTATTAAGTGGATCGGCTGTTGGTCCTGTGGCAGAATTGGCCCAACTAGCAGCTACACCATGGTCACAATTATTAGATACAAATCGTGCCAGACAACGTGAATTATTATCAGAATGTGAACGGCATAAAATTGCTATCGACCAAGTGGATACTCATTTAGCTAAAACAAAGTATGTGATTATTTAATACTATTATTATTATCCCGTAAGTTTTTTACCGCTAATCATCATTGAACTCATTTTATCGGTGCCAAAGATAATCAACATATTCACAAAAACGAGCTAGAAAAATGAGCCTAAAACCAACTACCTAGCTTAGGGGCCGGGATGGTGGTTAGCAGTGATATTATTTGATCCTACTCTTTACATTACCGATGATCTAATAAATGTCATGTCTTGTTGTAAACTAAGTGAAATTTTCTTCGGACATAAGTTTACATCTTATTTTTAGTTCTTCAATTTGAAAATGGTATTCGCTTTGTGTTAGAGGATAAAACTGATATATTGAAAGGCACAAACAATCTAGGGATGATCTGGTATAATTAGTTATGATCAACAAACAACCAACGGAGCCAATGTCCATTAGCTCAAACTGCCCACTGCATTAACTAAATGAAAACGGCCTGGAATATTAGTAGTGCCGATGATAACGAAACTAGACATGAAGAATATAGTTCAAAAGAAATGAAATCAAGGAATATAAAGTGTCAGACAAAACATTGAAGATAGAAAAATAAAATGTGCCTGCTCTTTTGAGACCGAGTTTGAGCCATGTCATCTAAGGTTTCCTCCAACCATTGATCACAATTATCGCGTGTACTCCGACTAGGTAGTTTAAACTTACTAACACGATTTAGACGAACATTCACTGACTTCATGGAATGGTATTATCTTTGTCTCTTCCCCTCCCGCAGCTTTCTTCTAATCTACTTAAACACCAGACAGCATCGAAGTTGACAGATGATGATTCAGCATACGAAACATTTGTCCCAGGCACCTCAGTCCAAATAAGCTACACTTCACACATCAGAACGACAGGAAATTAAAGAATTTAATTGGTGATCAAAACATTATTATTATTATTCATTTTTGCATTGGTTGTTTGGACCTTCTCATTGATGTTTAGGACGAGACGCACATCCTGGATTCCTCTGCTAGCCACCATCAACTCCCCTTATCATTATTATAATAAGCGAATGAAAATAAAATATATGAATTAAGATAGTGAATTGAATAACCCTATATAGAACAAAGTGAAAAGAAGTGGGGAGACCAATTTCCAGTGTCTTTTTACTTTCACTCGCAAGTGAAAGTCAGTTGTCGACAGTTTGGTAAACTTATCAAAACAATTGAATCAAGTTCTTAGAGTATGTATTGTCTCCAATTCAGAGGGAATGAACTACCACCTATTTTTTGTTTTCAACAGTATCTCAGAAAAGAACTTTATGTAAACGAATTTTGCTAAGGATATTAGGAAAACTGCTAGGTAGTGGCACAACTGTGCTTATGGAAAAACTTAATAAAATATAACAAAAATCTCATCAACATCTGAAAATACATTTCAGACACATTAGTGAGACTATCAAGCGCATCCTAATTACACGAATTAGTCGATTTCAGGCCTATATAGTTACGTTGATGCTTAGTATGTAATTAAGTCTATATGTCTCCCAATGTTTATCATTCACTTCATGAGCCTCTTGATTTAAAAAACAAGTCACCATAATGCATGCCGATAGTCTAGCATCAAATACACAGTAACCAATGGCACATACTACTTCATTTTCTTTAAATAATAACACCTTAAGTCGAAAATCGAGTGGTCCCACAAACAAAGGTAATTGAATATCATTGACCCTACTTATAGCTGCGGTTGTACTCGGATAAATAACTATGTTCAAAACAACACACATCAAATCTACTGACATAGTATTACTTAGCGACATTTTTTAGCAAAGTTCTTTTCTACAGGACGGTGTTGCTTAGCCCATGCCCATTTCCCCCCTTTACCGGACTTGGGATCGGCTGTAGCTCTAGAGGTGTCCCAGACAGAATTCTTAAAATAGTATACATTAATCGGATATCTGTCGTGTTTTATAGTATACAAACTAAGAATTTCACTAGTAACTAAACCTACTTGTCAAGGCAGAAACTAGAATCAATCCACAAAGTTACAAAAATTACCTTGTTCACCTTAAGATTTCACTTTAATCTACTACACCTACTACGTAATAGGAACATATAACTTGATTTTTCCTCCATTTTTATTTTTACAACGAAAACAGAATGAATTTATCTCAACTAGAAAATCAAATCAGTCAAGAGTTAAATCAATTGCTCAATGAATTGGAAGGATATAATCAACATAGAAGGTTACTACTGAAATCAGCCGGAAGTAGTAGCTCACAACCTCGTCCTAGAACAACTATCAATAATCCATCAGAGGTGGCAAGCGATGGTGTTGCTGTATAAAATAAATGAATTATACTACCGTCATATTATGTGCAAATATTTGAACATAAACACAATAAATATTATCTCATGTAAATTATCTAGTTTCATGAAGGTACAATCTTTTTTTATTTTCATGATAATCTTTTTTCTTAATATACAATATCCTATGCATAAATCCAGTCGTAATGCTGTATTTGTTTACCGATCGATTGATGACCGTCTAGAATAAATGCTTGGGACTATGGTAGGTAGCCTGCTATGGACATTTAAATCATACATTTTTTGTTTTCAGTGATTAAGAAGATATGTCTCTAGCGGGCGATAGTCTAGCAATCACTGAATGGAGTTGACCATAAAAACCTACAGAGAGGACTATCTAACGTACTTTACATTCAACGAACGGGAGTTTTTACTGTTTTCCCTATATTTCCGTTTGATGACGTAAACAACCTATCCAGACGTTGTAGTGAATAATTCAGGTGCAATGTAGAACTTGCTACCAGTAGTAAAACAAAAGATTAGGCATCGAAGATACGATCAGAGAAAACATAAATTTGTGAAAGAAAATTATGAGGAATTCAGAAGCTTAGAGTTCGGAGAAAAACAAAGGATAATGAGACCCACGCCATTGCAAATGATGTTGATCCGTATCACTCAAGGCTTTTAACCGCCGGTCGCAGTAATAACAATGACCCCAAACAGGCAGTCTACACATGTTAATGACTCAGTCCAATTGTCAATGATTTCATGGAATAATCCTAAGTTTCGGTCTGGCCATTCTTAGATTTCTTCCAACCTATTCTTACACTAGACAACACCTGTCGAGGTAAGCGGTGGTTAGACATACTTAACACATGTCCCAACTACCTCCGTTGATGGATATCTACTATCTCATCTTTCGATTTACCATCTTTACATGGTACCCTATTCCTCACTCGGTGGTCGGGAAATACATGAGCAATGCTTCGAAAGCATGTATTATCGAGTACTAGGAATGTGAGCATTCTTTATCAGAAGCAAATTTAAAAAAATAATCTTGTTTTTGCGAAAGATTGCTTCATGTTGGCTGTATATACTGTCACAATTAAATGAGCTAAATAGAGTTGTTAACCGTTTTAACGACACCTTTGTTTAACCACAATAGGTGCTCACGTGCCCGAATATACAAATTGCTAGAACATCTGTCAATATAACTTGCTCCACAGGAGCAGTTGAATTGATAGATACAGAAAGTAAGTGGTTAGTCTAGGCAATTTATCTTTCAACCCCTCGGAGTGATCATTGAACGTGTGGAAAACATTAATTGTAGTTTACCTGCATTAAAAGTTCTGTGGATTGATCTGCGTAACTTCAATCTTAGCATTTCAACAGGTGCATCACTTCTGAATTGTAAGCGTATATATACAGAGGCTTTTTATTCACTGTTAGGCATTGTTTATGCTCTCTTTTATTGGCTATGTTTTTATTTATAAATTTCTGCGGATACTTGTTTTCTTTCAGGGTCGTGTACAATGCCTTTGTTTCATCTTCGACCGCATCTATAGAGCATATGGTCTTGATTCTATGATGCAGTGTCTTAATAAGGTTCCTTTGGTATTGCAGAAGAAGAAAACTAAGAAAGTTTGTGTATTGGCCCGTCCGAGTAGTTTTCTTGTTTGTTTCTTCATAACGACCAGTCTTTTCTTCTTGTAGGCAGAACATCTAGAAAGGCTATTCCACGTCAATTTTCTTTCTCACATGTGCATTTTATTGGACGGATGAACTGTATCGAATCGCTCAAGCGTTTCTATCAAGTCAATATGGTCGTTACAAAGGATAAACGTATCGTCCATATATCTGTATTAAAATGGAAATCCATCAATCTGTTGTGCCAGTGGACTGTTTTCTAGTTTAGAGAGAAAATTCTCAGCCAATATGACACTTAGGGGTGAACCCATCGTGACACCATCTATTTTTCCATAGATTTCACCATTGAATTTGAAATGTACATTCATTGTACATTTTAGTAGTAATTCTCTGATCTCCACTGGGATTGTAGTTGCTATATCTTATTCTCTAAGTTGTTAACAAATATGTTCTACAGTCTCTCTTAGTGGGACATTTGTGAACAATGACGTTACGTTAAAGGACATCATCGTTTGACCTTTCATGTTTGTTTTTTTTAATCTTGGAATTTATAAGGAACTGTATTGAATCATGTCGTTATCCCAAACTGTTCTATAAGTCATTACGCCGAAATCACGTTCATCCAAATAGAAAAATATTAAAACGCTATACACTTAATAAAATTGATACATTAAATAATGACTTGACGGATATAGAAGTAAATATTGCTCTCAGGAAATTCGCAGTTGATGAATTAACAGAAGACATTAAGTCCCAGTTTATGGATTACGTCACAGAGATAACTATGGAAAGATCAGACAAGAAACATATACTTCTCAAAACCCTAGAAAATCAAACGGTTGAAAACAAATTTCCAAAGGAACTAGAGGTATGTGCATAATTTTTCCGGTACTGAATTAAATAAAGAAAAACTTGAAGTATTAGCACTAGGTCTAAAATTATGTGATACGCGAAACCTCGTAAATCATATAGATACGGACATCCAATCCGACAACCTAAATCGTCAGATATCAGATCTAGTCCCGACTTCTGATCAGGAACGTTTCAAATCAAACCTAGTTGACTGCTGCTATCAGTTTAGAAATAGTAGATATAACTACTGTATTTTAACTAAGAAAAAACACAAGGAGGCTATCAATGAACTCATTAATGACGATAATCTGATTATCACATAACCTGATAAAGGAACAGGAACTGTCCAACTTAACAAAAAAGACTACATTGACAAGATGAGTAACATCTTGAGATCTATAAATAAAAACAGCCAATAAAAGAGAGCATAAACAATGCCTAACAGTGAATAAAAAGCCACTGTATATATACACTTACAATTCAAAAGTGATGCATCTATTGAAATGCTAAGACTGAAGTTACGCAGATCAATCCACAGAACTTTTAATGCAGGTAAACTACAATTAATGTTTTCCACACGTTCAATGATCACTCCGAGGGGTTGAAAGATAAATTGCCTAGACTAACCACTTACTTTCTGTATCTATCAATTCAACTGCTCCTGTGGAGCAAGTTATATTGACAGATGTTCTAGCAATTTGTATATTCGGGCACGTGAGCACCTATTGTGGTTAAACAAAGGTGTCGTTAAAACGGTTAACAACTCTATTTAGCCCATTTAATCTTATTTTTCTTTATTGTCCAATAACAATTAAAGTCTCCAATTTTTTCGAAATTTCCGATAAGCAACACATCTTCATTACATATAAATATGAAAATAAATATACACATTATTTTATCAAAGATGGCAAACGTGTACACTTCCTCGTTCTCTGAAAGGACGCACAAGGTAAATCAAGCTAATTTAACCACAAACTGTCCTACAATATATGTACTGATGACTGTTTGTGATTAACAGCTGATTAGTAATATCAGAGCCTTAGAGCGCGATTCAGAGAATAAGGATTTCACGTTGTTTACACCACGAAATTATAACAACAATGATAATAATGAAAAACAAAATGCTGGAGCAAATCATACCAGGAACTAGTTTAGCAGTCATATACAGTATTCCCGGTGGAAAAAAATCAAGTTAGCAAACTGCTTGTCTATTTACGGCAACATTAACACGAAAGAGAATGTCCTGATTAGTTCCGTGTCTACTAAATGAGCAAGAAGAAAACTAACTTGCAATGTAACAAAATCTAAGTTGGATATTCTCTAAAAGTTACAGATGACCTGACACGGATATTTATGGATATGAATCGTTGAAATCTACACAGAATAAAAGGCATGCGGAAGTAAATGAACTATTTAACCCATTAATAATCAGCTAACTATTCTTACGTCACCGAATCTCAGTGCCTTATACTCCTAAACGAAAGAAAAATGCCTCCCCCTGAGGATTCCTAAATGCCTATACTCGACAACCGTGAGGGGGCTAGTTAATTCTCACTACATCCCCAGATGAAACTACGCCAGGGTATTAGCATCGCTGCTATTTCTTTTAGTTAATTTTGGTCTGCCTATTTGACTGCGTAATCGCAATTTCAAAATGGTACATAAAAATGCTAACACTATCATACGTCCTCATAAATACCTACCAGTAAGTTTACCATCCTGGTCTCCTTAAAATAAACGAACAGTATCATCTGGAATGTCGGCTGCCACAGTCGAGCAGTTCATCGCTATCACATTAAGTATAATTGGCATACTATCTTATTCTATAGCTATCAAATTGCAGAGTCGCATCAAGAAAATACTTAACTTTATAGCTTTTCCAACCATGTATGTATAAAATGATCTCAAGAATAACTGTTCTGGCTCTACCTATCTAATATATTAGGTTATAAAATTTTTTTGCTGCTAGGCTATGTATTATATAGTAAGCAAGTGCATATTGTATTCATTTAATACTACAACTGGTTTGCACTTGACACTGCAACCTGTCTATTTAGGTTTATCGCACATATTTGAACATATATAGAATAGGTAAAAACAGTAGGTCGAACACTTCATTATTGGTTACGTATCTAGCTACAGACGACAAGTCAATGATCTTCCGATTTAGTATATTAAACTAATATTCCAGACGTTAACTGAGATCGGTATCATTACCAAGTTTTGACTTGATAATTTCGAATAAATTGAGCATTGGTTAGATTGTTATAAATCAATTAATTAATATATTTGTAATATCCCTATGGCTACGAAAATTAATTTTTGTGACGCTTCGTGACTCAGTGTGAGCCACTTCTTCAGAGAATAAATAACAGATATATTAATTTGTTAACTTAGATATTTTATCTGACTACCGGGTAGTACTGATTGGTTTAAAGATAAGCAAAATTAGAACTTGCTCAAAACTGCGTGAAAAGTGAGCAAATCTACTATTTCTCCAAAATAGGTTTCACCAGTTAGACAAATAGCCGCTTAAATAGCTCCCCGGCAATACCTCTGAATGTGACACTGATATGAATCCAAACCAATCAGATAATGTTAGCTCATCCACAATCGAAGACTCCAGGTACGCATTAGTGATCACTATCAGTTACACAGAGCGTAAATCCGGAGTTATCTGCAAATCTCCTCTAACTACATT